AGTGATGGCCCGAAACCCACAGATTCAGGCAGATCAGTGTGGCTCAAACATTTGTAGAGAAGCCAGTAAGAACAAAAAGAGACAATGGTGAGTTAATTGGCTCAATATGAGGTATCGTTTATAAATTGGATGCAACTAGCAAGTAAATCCATTTTTTTTGGGGCATTCAAATACTACATGTAATTCTAAAGAAATGGTTTTGAAAGTATTATAATATGGTTAAAGAATATTTGACAGCCTACATCAGTTTGAACTATAATCTATTCAATCAGAAAACCAAGAAAAAGAAACACCAATCAACAGCGCACACGAAGCATCTTGGCAGTGAAGAAGTCCTGTGATTCTCGTTCCTGCGATCCTCGCTGATCTTCTGAAGATAAAATAAGAAAAGAGTTCAGGAAGATACACGACGAATTTCGTATAATTTTTTAAAAATATGGATTACTGTAGTTTTCCTTGTCTTCAGAAATCAGTAGTCAACACATGGAAACTCTGATTTATTAATTCTTTTATCATAGCGAACATATTTCATTTTTCTTTGGATTACTGTAGTTTTAAGTTGTAATCAAGATCAGTGTCTTGAGAACATGTAAACCTAGGCCTCTAGCTAGATCAGGTTCTTAAACTGTTACAATTTAAGAAGCCCTCTCTCTCTCTCTCCCTTTTCTTGAAAAAAAATAACAAGGGGCACCAATCAAACTACATTATCACACAAATCAGTTGTAACTTCTTTCTCCTTTCTTCTTCATGATTCTTCTTTTTTTGCCCATTATTTCTTTTCTTGATGATGGCAAACCAACATTTTTCTAAAAGAATAATACTAATCGAATTAGTACCAACTAACGTATGTACTGCCTGAATAAAGAAAGCTAACAAAGGAACAGGGAAATAAAAAATAAGAAAAATGCATTTATTCAAAAAATCTATCTTTTCACTTTCAAACTGAAGCTCACATCTGAAGAAACTGGCATCGAGAGATCTTTCAATTTCAAAAGAACAAATTTCATTGTCGAACGATCCGCTGGAAGTTTGGTCCAACAGGATTTCAGTGCGATTTCAGAAATCATTGGAGGAGTAATCTGAAAACACAAAAGAATTACTCTGAATCTAAAAAATTTTTAGAAACCTCTGGAAACGGCATACGGTAGTCGTCGCAAAAAATCTTGGCTCTCGTTTGCAAGTTCGACATTCCTGGGTACGGATCAGCACCGTCGGCGTAGATCTCCCACATCAGGACGCCTGGTATTTCAGAATGTCAGAATTTAAGAAGTTCAGAATGTCAGAATCTCAGAATTACAGAATTTTAGAATCCCAGATCTCAGAATTTCAGAACCTCAGAATCTCAAAATCTCAGAATCTCTTAATTACAGAATTTAAGAATCTCAGTCTCAAAATTTTTTAATCTCAGAATCTCAGAATACTAGAATCCTAGAATCTCGAAATCTCAAAATCTCAGAATTTTAGAATTTCAGAATCTCAGAATTTCAGATGTTCAAAATCTAAAAATATCAGAATCTCGAAAGTATACCAAAATCTCACCAAATGCCCAAACATCACTTTTCAACGAGTACAATTTATCCTGCATGACTTCTGGAGCCAACCATTTGACAGGCACTTTTCCCAACGTGTCGTCATGCATTTCAGTGCGTTTATCATCCGAAAGTCCAAAGTCCGAAATTTTGATTTGCTGGAAATGTCGGATTTCAGAAATTCAAAAATTCAAAAATTCAGAAAATCAGAAACTCCGAAATTCTGAAATTTCGAGATTCTGAAATTCAAAAATATGGATTTCCAAAGGAAAGTCTCACATCAGTCAACGAGAGCAAGCAATTTCTCGCTGCAATATCTCGATGAAGACATTGTTTTTTCTCCAAATAAGCCAGTCCATCAGCAGATTCGATACAAAAACGAAGGCGTTCCGAGAGTGTTGTTTTGGTTTTATTCTTGCGAAGATATGAGAGCAACGAGCCATCTGAATATTAAGATTTTTGAATTTAACGCGTTGAGAGCTTGCTTCAAAATGAGTATAATCATGCCTAGGCTCCGCTAACTTTGATTTTCATACAAGCCCCGAAAATCGAAGTTCGAGAAATTGGGTCATGCATATGTTTATTTCAAAGCTTTAAATGCGCTGAATTCGAAATCACACGTATTGTTCAGAATTTCTAAAAAATGGAGGTTACGAGGAAACCAAAATACAACTACAAATATGAGCCTTTTCATGTAATTTGGTTTCCTCTTTTTTTTTCAGAATTAACAAACAATAATGGTGACTTTTTTAACTCTTACACATTTAGAGCTTCAAAATGAGCACATACATGACCTACTTTCTCGAATTTTTATTTATCGGGACCCGCATTCGCCTTTAAAGTCTGAGAATCAAAACAAGCAAAGCATAGGCATGTTTATACTCATTTTGAAGTTCCTGATACGCCCAATTAAAAATTTTTGAATGTTTTCAGAAATTTCCCTAAATTAAATTTAACATCGAATGTCTCATTTATTAAAATGTTCTGAGCAAGAAAAACTTGTTGATATCTCAAAAACTAAAAGAGCTTGAAAAAAGTGGTCAACTACAAAAACGATCAGCGCTCAATTTTACATCGACGGATGTCAAAAAAATGTTATCGATTCATCCCGAAAACTCACGAGGACACATTTCCATCACAATCATCAGTGGGTGAGCATGAACGGCGAGACCTGAAACGCTTTCAATGGAAATCCCTCTAATTGCTCATTTTAAACAAAATCCCAAACATTTTCATGATCCAAAAATCGTTTATATAACTTTTACACGATTCCAGGAACTCAAAGCTCCGATTTGAAATAAACACACAAATTATTATAAAACAAACAAATTCACATGGAATTGAAATTTGATCTCCCTTCTAAAAGCCACGTCATCAGAATTCATGAACTATGAACTCGGAGGATTCTAAGCCACTTATTTGCAAATCATAGGTCACAGTCCCCCTATCAGAAATTCTGAATCTCCGGAAGTTCAGAATCTCGGAACTTCAGAGTCTCAGAATATCAAAATGTCTGAATTTCAGAATCTTGGAATATCTGAATTTCAGAATCTCAAAAATGTCTGATCTCTTTCTCAAGGCCACCAATTTGCAGATCCTAGGCCACCATCCCCTACCAATAATTCTAACGATATGTGGATGAGAATATTTTCTCATCAATCGAGCCTCTTTCATAAACGCCGCCCGAGTTTCTCTCGTCATTTGACACCTCATCGTTTTCACGGCGACCTCCACTTTTTGACCGCCAATTTCACACTCGGCCAGTGAAACCTGAAATTTTTTGTTGCAACATGATGGCCTAGAAAAATCTAGGCCACCTCTCCAAACGCTCCTTCCCCAAGTTTTTTGATAAAAATCACACTTTCATGATCGATGATCCAATCAGGTTTCGAGATTGGTGATCCCAGCTTGACGCCCGAAATTTTGGTTATTGGAATTCCATTTGTTCTGAAAATGAGAGTAAAAGAGCTCAAAAGAAGGGTTAAATTATTCATTTTATCTGGTTTTTGGTTAGATTATGTTCTGCAAAAGAAGCCTCAAAACAATTTGACCTAATTATTGCGCCAAGATCAATTTTTGGTTTTTGATGGCCTAGATAAAAACCTAGGCCACGTACATATGCCACTGAAGTAAATGCTCGACAGTCTTCTCCCGATGGGTTCCTTCGAACCAAAAATTTCCGACAGCATCCGAGTTGACACCGAAATTGTGAAGTTTTCCATCGTAGCGAACCGATAAAATCATTGACATTTTGCCTGGAAAGGAGGGGGTTCTATGGATTGAACTTTACAGATTTTTTTCAGTGGAGCGAGGTTTCTCTTTGTTGGAAATTTCCTAGATTCATAGACATCCTAGATTCATAGACATTCCTAGATTCATAGACATTTCACGTGTTAGTGGTTTTCTCCCCTTCGTTGAAATAAATAAATAAATTTAAATTAAATAAAATTATTTTCGTAATCTTCGAAATTAACTTGTTCTTCAAAATTATTTCAGTTTAGCGAATTTAATTCGAACAAGTTTAAAACACTGTTTTTTTTTCAGAATTCGCAACTTTTCCCTTTTAAATTAATTTTTGGCTGTTCTCAAATTTTCCAAAAATTTTCACCAAAACGGAAATTTTGTAGAATTTCAGTTTTTAAATGTTTCCGACAATGAAAAACTTTTAGAATTTTTAGAATTTCGTTAGCATTTTTAGCATTTTAAGAGGCATTTTTTTAGCATTTTAAGAGGCATTGAAAATTTTTAATCAGAATTTATCAATCCTGCAAAATTTCGAATTCCCGCAAAATCGGTAATTTTCAATACAGCGCACATTCTCACCCGAAAACATTGAATTTTTTAGAATTCGCAACTTTTTCCTTTTTTAATGAATTTTTGGCACTTTTCGACAGTTCTCAAAACTTTTTCAAACTTTCTACCAAAACTGAAATTTTGTAGCATTTCAGTTTTTAAATTTTCCGATGATATAGATTTTCGTTTTTCAGCATTTTAAAAAATTTCAATCTCCTGCCAAATCATCAACTCTCAATAGAGCGCACATTCTCACCATGAACTTCAGAAGCACGAAGCAAAAAGTTGCCGTGTTTCGGAAGCAACTCTTCAGCGTCCTGCCGCTGCAGGACTCCATGAAACCAAGAATCGCCGTTATTATTATTCTGTCTCTCCTCAATCGCGGAGGATTCTGTCGACGTCGTATTTCCGTTCAATGACATCGTTCAACCTTCTACACGTCTTCTATTTCTTTTCTTCAGAGATGACGTCAAAAAAGCCTCCGTTTCGAGACTTCTTTTCGATAGAATACAAAATGTAAAATGATGCATTGATCTCCCAATTTTGATTCCCACGTATCCCACCAGACAGCAGATTCCAAGAATTAGAAAAAACAAATCTATATCAGTACACACTTTATTTCCGGGATTTCGTTTTGAGAAAGAAAGAAAAGAGGGACGGATGAAAATGAAAGAAGACACAAAAAAAACTAGTAACTCATTGTTGCATAAACGTCGTTTCGTTCCTTCCTGTTGTATGTACATTTTAAGATTAAAGAGAGAAGAAAAAGCGCCAAATTTGAAAAATTCCTAGTTTTTTTGCAGGGGGGTTCGGGAGCGAAGAATGATGAGGTTTCGGGTGTGGGGATGATTGGTTGATTTTTGTGAATTGAATAGCATGATCTAATAAAATGAGAATAGGGGAGAAAGAGGAATATAAAAGAAAAAACGACGCCCGTCTTTCACCGAACAATCGTCACCAAAACGTTTTATGTATGTTTTGTTGTGTTACAAAAACGAGCATTTTCACTTTGTTGTTGTGTATTTGGAAGGGGAAGAAAGAGGATTCCAGAAAAATTGAGAAAATCGAGGAGGGGGAAACACAGAAAATATACACTAGAATCAATATGCGAGGAGCTCGTTTCCAGTTTTACTGAAAACAAACTCAAATACATACAGACCGACTCCGAGAGATGGATAACAGAAAAAATAAGTCAAATAAGCAAATTTTTGCAAGATTTGCTCACAAATACGAGTTGGATGAAATTCAATTCGAAAGAGAGAAAAACACGGTGTACAGTACAAATGAAAACACATGGTGCCGGACCGACTCGAAAACCAGGCCAATTGGGGGGTAGAGTGTCGTGTCAGCCGATACCAGATACAGTTTGAAATTGACAAAAAAGAAAAAAAGGTGCATGTAATTTGGGGAGGAAGGAAGAGAAAAAGGGTGGATATTCTATGAAATGTGACAAAAAATGTAGTCCAAAAAAAGATGAAAAAAAGAGTGTAACTTGAATATTCAATGCTTTTGCAGAGAAGCAATGCGCTTCGGACTAGTTGGGACGGTGGGGGATGTTCAAGGGGAGAAAGATGACAGATCAATGCTTGCGCAGCACAAAATACCGAGATGATGGAAACAAAGAGTGGTTTAGATTCTTTGAACTTTATCCGACACAACAACAGGATTATTTTTTCTGATAGTTTCACGTTCCATTGTCTTGTAGTCGAATTGGCAGTTGTGCGCCTGATCGTAGCGGTGATCTCCGCAGTACAATCCTCCACATCTACACGAGAAACCTGAAATTAAATTTTGATTTAAAAACTCGGATCAGGATCCGGAATCATTGGAATCTAATAAGAAGAATACTCACCGGTAAGTCCAACCCGTTTTTTACACATATGGCATCTATTAGCTTTTTTCACCGGGGCAGGGGCGTCCACGACGATTGTCGTGGGTGCAGTGCTCTCAACAACCCTGAAACCAATCGATTGAATTCTTTGTATTTTTATCGATTTTTCGCTACTTACGTCGTCGTCACAGTTTCATCGGTCACACTGAGAATTTCTTCACAATCAAGCTTCACCGTTGCATCGGATGCACTGACGGCTGCTTTCATACAAAGTTCCACACTTGTCGGATCAGATTTAAGGGCAGAGGAGGAGGTGGCCATGGAAGACGGAGAAACAACTGCAAAAATTACAAATCAGAACCTAATCAATCCAGGGTAAATTCGCGTGCTTTCTATTTTTTCTCCCCAATATCACACTTGTGTGTCATGAGACAGGGCCCAGCTGATAACACGAAGTTTGGTCGGCGATCAAGAAAAAAAGAGGGAGAAGATGATTAAATAGCAAGTTCATCTGAATCAAAATCTGATCTGAACTCTGATAAGCTAGATTTTATGAGCTAGATTTTATTTTATTTTTCCTAGAAGTTCAAACCGCATTAATAATGCAAAAACTTTTCATCATGGATTAGTCATCTATCTCATCAATATATGCAAACATTAAGCCGTCAAGCAAGGATCGATACATGCATCTAATATGCTCATTCTCATTCGCAGCTTTCTATCCATTTTCAAGACACACACACACACACTCACGAAAAGGAACGAATGACGGTCGTTTTCAAGAGCGCCATATGGTTGAAAAATAAAATAATCCTGTTTTCTATTACCTTTTCTCAGCATAAACCAATCAGTCAGAAACCTAACAATGGGATTTTATTTCAATTATTGGCGAGCATAAATATGCTAATCGACAAAAGCCCTAGATTCGTCCAGCCATTTGCTAACAAAGAATTGAGAACCACTTATTGCACATATACTCTTTTTCCTCTTTTCTCTGTTCAGGGCCTAATTTTACACACCACGATTACTAAATGACCACTGGCGCCCGTGTCAGCCGATTTGTCAACTCGTTTTTATGTGACAAAGAACACCGATCGTCAGTGATCGATTTTCATTTCGCAATATTCAATTTTTTTTTCTGATTTTTTGATGTTTTTGAACCAGAAAAACTCACCAGGTGATGTGAGCCTGACAGCATCTTGCTGGCGCTTCAGCGTGTTCTTGAAGCATTGCGAACAGTAGCCTTCTGTAGCGGAGGCTCCAAAAAATCCGCAACCAGCACGGCAGGATGGTGGGGCCTGAGCTTGTTGTTGTTCGTTCTCCATTGGTTGACCTGAGCGACGCCCTGTAAGAAGAAAAAATATTATTGAGTAATTCAACTGAGAAAATTTGAACACGATGGAGAGAGGAAAAATGATTGAATATCATTTTTTGACGAAGAGATAACAAGAAAGACACGTAGGCAAAAGTACATCGGTCGTCACCGGGCCCCCAGGAGGCGCCCCCGAGAAAACAGTCGATGTAACAAAGAGAAAAAGAACAAAACATATCAAACGACGACACTCGACGGAGACATAAAAGACGTCATCATGTGATCCTTTTCTACAGAAAGCAAAGAGAGAAGATTACGAACACGTTGAGGCGCGCTGATGTTTTTTCCTCAATCGATTCCTAAACTGCGAACTTTTTTCGCAGTCGCTGCTGGCGTAGCAGCTCAAAAAGTCGTATACTTTGACATCAATAAAAAATGTGGTCACCAGAGAGAGGAAGGGAGCGTTTTCTCGAAAAAAAAAACGTGCACTTCACGAGACAGACCCCATCCATTCCTAAACATGAGTTTTTTCTTCTTCTAAAGGGATCTCAAATGAACAATTCCAGTACGCACTCGTTCTAATTAACACCTCGGGGCAGGTGGAATTGAGAATGTTAGAACAATAATTAAGAAATTTCTGTGTCAGAGTTAGAAGAAAACTCACGTCTATACATTTGAGAAAGTGGTGAAGAGAGGAAGAGTTGATGTTAGTGTGATGTCTAATTCGAGAATAATTTTTTTTTTCAGCGCTAGGGGTCAATTGATCGATTGGGGGCATCAAAATGTGAAGTATGACAAAACTATGATGTGTCACGAGAAAAAAAAATCTGAACTATTTTAACGCGACAAATGCACTATGGTAGTGACAGCGCAGTCCCCCGCCACCAGCCGTGTTGTAGAAGCAACTCTCATATGACCGAACACGATAGAGGTGGATGGGGCAGGTCACAAGGTGAAATGCAGTAAAGAACCACCAGTGAAAAAAAGGAAAAGAAAAAGTAGGAGAGGAAAAAAGAAAGAGGGGGACATTTGACAAAAGTGACTGAACCCGACTTAGAGAAGGGAAGACGCACGTCACGCGAAATAGACTTTCTCTAGTCCCGCTCTAGGCTTCGGCACTACTCAGACATACACAAACTACCAGGGAAATAGAAAGAGAAAGAAGAAAAAGGAAAGGAAAAGACCTCTTTTCCTCACTCTTTCCTCCCTTTTTCTTCTTCCTAGTATTACGCTCAACGCTCCCTTTGCCATCCCCTTTCACAGAAAGCACTTTTCTTCCGCCAAAAAATGATTCATCTTTCCAACGGCGTCGTCACTCCCACTTTCACACTATTCAGAATATTCTATATTATCGAATCAACACTATTCAGACAATCTCCTCCACTTGCACTCTATTAATTAAATGAACACGAGAGTGGAAATGCCCTCTTCAGCTCATAATACAAGACATATTAGGATCAAAATTTAAACTTCTACCGAGAGAATTCTAGAAGACTATTGCGTAATAATGATGTAATTGTCAGACAAATCCAAATCCCTCATTTCTGACATTAAAAAACACTCTGAACTGATGTTAGGTGGACTGACACACTCTCAACGAGATAGGGGAACAAAGAAAACTTTCGTTTTCCCAATGGGAATCAATTTCAATTGTCGAAGAGAGAAAAAGGAGAAGAGGAGAGTGGTGCTGGCAGTCGGGGAGGGGAAATTGCGGCGAAAGGGACTGAATCATGTGAAAAACAGAAAATTGAGAAGTGGTGGTGGGGGGAGCCAACAAAAAGTAAAACAGGGGATCCAAGAGTACTGAAAATGTTCTCAGGTGATTATCGGAGGTTCAACAAAAAACAGATTGAAGGCGACAGTTTCAACTACATGCGATGCCTCACGTGACAACGACGCAACGCTGCGTGTGCCTCAAAGGCACGCAATTCCCTTGTAACCAGACAGCTGCCTAGTGTCGCCGTACACTGCCGCAGCAGTGTCTCCTAGCGCATGATCGAGCGGCGGAGGGCGCCGTCTCTCGTTTTCATTCGTTGCGTCTGTCGCCACACGAGAAACAAATTTACATTCATTCACCCTCTCTCTCTACCACCCAGTACTACAACTACTAATACTGAAAATCGAACAATTTTTTAAAAAGAGAATTCGTCAAAAGAACGATGATGATCGGCGCAATTTAAAACTTGACTCGATGATTGTACTACTACATCAATCTCAATAAAAATACTGACGGTGAGAATAGAAAATAGAAACGATGAGAAGAAGAAGACGCCCAATCGTTGTGGTGGTACTACAGTTCGGCTGACTGATAAGCGTGATAAGATACCAAAGTGGGACGGCCAGCAACCAGCGCTTTATTAGTCGCTACGTCGACTAGGATAAGGAAATAATTATGACGAAAGGGATGGTTAAGACAAAACGAGACGGGTTTCGCTTTTTTTTTACTGGGTGCCTTTGGGAAGTTCGTAACAAAGGTGCTCATTATGCAGAAGTGCCACGAGCAGACAACAGCATTATAGGCTCTAAAGAGGGAAAGAAAAAGAAGCTTTGTGAATGGCTGAAAAGCGGGCGGAACATAACGGCAAGAGAGCCGGCTGAAAAATAGTAGGCGTGGTTTGGGTGAGGCCTAGTGACTAATGACAGAAAAAGTGCACCATCCATTGCCGCCCGAATAGTGTCGATGCACTTTGACACTCGTTCCAGCAGCCCGAAAAGTTCACCCAGATCGGCTTGCACAAGGTCTCGTCGTACCGGTCTCCGACCTTTTAGTACATCACAGGGAAACGAGATCTGGTGAGAGCGAGGAAGTCACTGGAGGGAGGACATGGAAAATAGAAACCAAAAAGACGTAGATTAGAACTGAAGAGGGTTTTTGGTGGTGGTGAAAGGCGAAAAAACAACTCTCAAGGGTCTAATGAACCATTTCGATGGTTGAATATTAGTCGAAAATCAAAGGATATAAGGAACAGAATGGCACAGGCGGCACACAAAGTATGAAACCAAACAAAAAGAAACGTCAGAATTTTTGAGCGAGCAGGGAATTGAAAATCGATAGAGGAAGGTTCTCGAATGTTCTCTGCGTATTTCGAAACACATCGAATACCAGGTGGATATGTAAATTCTGGGAAATATGGAATACCAGGAAGAAGAACAATGTTAGTGCGTTCTCAGAAATCGAAAATCAGGGACATCACAAAGGGCACGAAATGGGAAATTCGATAAAGGAACGACGAATAGTCGACTATTGCGTCACTCTCTGAAAAGACGAGATAAGAAAACGCCTCGAGAACATTCTATCATGTGAACGACAATTCTTATTGATTTTCGATTGATTCGAAAAGACTTTCGTAATTCCCGGAACTTTCCAGAACCATGGGAAAAATAATAATTCCTTCAATTTCCATTAGACAAAATTTGAGAGAATAACATGAATCAGAATGTGATATTTCTCGTACACAGCTTATTTGATCATTCTGCTTAGCGATCTGCGTCAAAAGAGTGAAAAAATCAAAAGGAAATGGAAAAAAAGCAGCTGACACAAAACGAATTCCACTTCCTACGTGGACATGGCAACGACCATAGACAGACTAAAAAACAAGAGGGACCAAGGGAACACTGGTAATTAAAAAAGGAAGCTGGCTGGTTCCATTCACTATAGACAGCCGGGGGGAACACGTGGAAGGGACGAGAACACTGCCCAAGTGGTACGAGGGGTCACCGAACCAGGACTGCCTGACTAACAGACTCCAGCCAGGCACTCTTCACCACCACCACCACTGCAGACGGACTGACTGCTGCTGCTATCGACCAGCATCACACGATGACAATTTGTGTACGCGACGCGGCCGCAGCGCAGCGCTCAACCCTGAACAAACGGGCCTTCGTCCTCGGGGGGGCAGGACTGAAGAAGACCGACTGTTCTTCTCTTTTTTCATAGACCTCAGTTTTTCGAAAGAAACGAAAAGAAAAACGGTGTGTGATTCGGGTTCGGCTCCACGGGATGCTTGCCGGTCATCTCTCTTTCTTGTCAGTTGTCAGCTGACTTTTTTATTACCGCACTTTGGATTTTCAATTTTTTGTTCCGCTATTTCGTGGTGGTATTTTTCTTTTCTAATTTATCGGAAAGGTTTGATGCATCGATTTTCCGATCAAAAATATGATCATACGCTAAATAATCAACTAACTTTTGTTTCTGTTGTACATTTCGAGAACCCCACTTAACCTATTGATTAGGTCGTGAAACGAAAACGTCAAGTCAACTGGTGCTCAGAGCACACATCGTTCGATTCCTGTTTTTCATTCGTCACTGCCAAGGAAGTGACTCAAAAAACAATTTTTGCGAGAGTGAGCACCCACCACTCTCCGTTTCTCTCGTCGTTTCTAGAGCATATACTCGTCATTTCGCTGAAAACTGACTCATATATTCCTACTCTTTCTCTATTTCAGCTGTCTCGCGGTTTCAGCTTTTTCGCGCTCCTTTTTCTGAGAACACAGAAAACGAACAAAAAAGAGACGACGACGATGACTGCTGGAACAAGAGCAGCTCGAAATTTTCAGATAATGAGCCGGCTGTTCTGGTGGGAGAAAGGAGGAAGAAGATGAAGAAGAAAAAAACATAACTGAATTTTTGTGTGTGGGGTAAAGTAGACGTCACCGACGGGTATTACTATCAGAACCGACGTGTTTTCGACTTAAAAAGAACGGAAGAACAAAAAATACGAGTGGGGAGAAAAACACTGAAAAAGAGACTGGCCCAGTCGGCAAAGTTGATGAAAAAATCATAGAAAAGTGGAAAACGCATAAAGATAAGCGAGACCTAGAAAATTAGGAAATTTTAAGCGCCTTTAAAGAATGTTCACGGCGACGCAAAGTTTCACAATTTTCTACAGTAAACTTTCAAACACCGAATTTCCGAGAAAACTCAATAAAATTAGTTCTTAGCCTCGAGAAAATGTCAAGAGAAGTCGTGCTAATACAGGTAGAATCTGTTCTTATGGCAGAGATGTATGAAAAAGTTATCGGCGCACCCAGAATTTGTGTGCGTTGACAGAAAACGTATTTGCCAATCAGCACCATTAATCATAGGCTTCGATTAGGATATAAAGATATTCAGCACAGACATGACGACCTTTTTGAAGAGGTTCAACATAACACGATAGGCTTCCTGCGATGAATCGGAAGGACCTCAGCTTGTTATCCCGAACACGAGAGGCGAGCAAATATTCAAACGCCCCGAGGGAAGGAAGCCTAAATGAGAGTAGGCGAGAAAACGAGATCCAGACAAAATACGACGGGAATCGATGGAAAGAGATGGAAAGGAAAAAAGAGATGATGCTAGGGATGCTGCTGCTGAGGCGGAAGAAGGACAAGTCGGATTGGACGCGGAGTGAGAATCGGAGACGACGGGAGAAATGGGGTTATTTTATCGGCGATGTTGATCACAACGGGGTCCCGACCTTCTATTAGCTTTGAGATTTACGCAACTCAGAGAGCTGCGAAGGTCGTCTGATCTCCCATTGATGAAGGACGATAGAAGAAGGAGATGAGCAATTTGTTTGAGATTTTTTATTTATTCCCGTCTCTCTTTCTCTCACTTTTCTCCTTCTCTTCCAACCATTTTACTGGTTTGCCAGTGTACACACTCGCACAGGGTATTTCTGTATTTTTGGCACTGTATCGCCGCGCTGAAACGACCCGCCATGTCAATAGTTGAAGAATCGTTCGTTTCGGTTTTTCCGCAATGATTTTGAAACAAACTCGAAAATCAAACATCTCGGGGTAAAAGGCGAGAGAAATCGAAAGGGAAAAGAGCATCTGATATTATTTATTAGTCACAATTCTAGGGATTCAGGTGATTTTTTCAATGCAGATGATGTTAAAGGGTGAAAATTATATCAATATACAAGGTTCATGGTATATAACTTCAAAAGTTCATAAAAAAAATCGTATTTCGAAAAAATCCTGACGAAAATCAGAAAAATGATGACAAAAGTTTAAAGGAGCACAGGGAAATGACACATGTGGGCTTCGCAAGGGAAAACACTTTCGTAGGCGCGGCAAGTATTTTCGTTCAGTTTTGAGGTGAAAACTCTTTAAAATTCTTTGCCAGCGAATTTCGAATAAACAATAAAGTCAGAAATTTTGCTATGAACTTTACCTACTACTACTATTTCACCACCTCCATCCGTGTCATCCTCCGCAAAAAACAGGACACCCAAAGTCAGTAAACAAGAAGACGACGTGTGTACTATTTTTGTTTTTCAACCATATTCTCATCAGAAAACTGGAGAGGGGACACAGATAGTGCTTTACTAAATATTTTGAAGTTTTTTTTTGCTGTGGCTAGAGACAAAAAACAAGAGATGAAGTAAAGTTGAAGCTTGATTGTGCTTGGAAAAAAAGTTAAGAGGAATCGGGAAAAAAAGAAAAGAAAAAGTGGAGAACAGCTCTCTAGAGGGACTCGTAGCGGCGGGGACGTCATCTGAAAAGGGTACTCAGGGTCCTGAGAGGCAAAGAAGAGAATGTTTCCTGTTTTCACAACGTGATTACATCATAAAAGTGGATTGTTTGGAAAGTGAATCGATTTGGTTGCCCCTGGTATACACATGGGAGGAAAGGGAAAGAATCGATGTAATCGCGCGACGTTAACAAAAACTCGCTTCTGGCGACAGATGACGTTGAATTGTTCGCTGACGGGAAGAGAGGTGTGCGAAAGGGGGATTCAGTAGGCGGCGAAAAGAATAACTAAGCAGTTTTTGAGATTCAATTAGGATACAAAAGGATAGTCTATTTTAAGAATTCGATGGCCAAAAGCCAAGGAAGTTCTATTAAAAACAGATTGCTGTGCACGTGATGATTGGTGGTTCGTTTTGATGATATCACTGAAGAAGAGATAAGAGAGGAGAAATCGGGGTAAATACAATACGGCAGAAGAAATCTGTTGAAGCCATTTGGAGGAAATTCGGGGGCGCCTTCCGGTGGCAGGTTGCCCCCTCTCTTTCGGTTCAAAAGAGCATACATACGGGCGCGGGGAGCTGTGTATGCTCAGACGAGTCAACTATGCTGAGCAAACAGCCTGGGGACAAGACTGGGAGCCCCCACCAACTCGTTCTATTTCAGTAGTTGGGTGCTGCTGGTGTCAAATGAATCGTACATGGTTATTTATGTATGAGCTACTGCTGGTGGCGGAAGAAAAAAGCATTAGTCTTTTTTTTTTGAGGGGGCCTTTTTACCTATTTAGCTTATTTGATTTTTTTTCTTCAATAATTTTATGCTAAAATATATTACCAAAACTGGGAAACAAAACGAAAAAACAAAAACCGACGAATATAATAGTTATAAAGCCAATCGGTCTAGTGACAGAAAAACGCGGAAATGTTGAATGGGGAACAATAGAATAATGCAATAAAGGAAATCGGGTTTATGGAGCACATCTGCCGACAAATCGTGGGTACAGACAGACGTCACGAATGTGGTTGGTGCCGGTGAGCCAGCAGATGAATCGCTCGAGTCCCAATCCGTATCCTCCATGTGGAACGCTTCCGTATTTCCGCTGGTCCATGTACCAGAAATAGTTGGTTGGACTGAGTCCAGCACGTTCGAACGCGGCGAGCATCTCATCTTCCTTCCAGATACGCATCGATCCTCCGACGATCTCACCGACTCCTGGCATTAAGAGATCCACAGATTCAGTGAGATCTTTGTCGTCTTCACAACGTGGCATATAGAAGGCCTTGATTCCAGCTGGGAACCGGTTGAGAAGGATTGGCTATAAATTTTTAGAGATTTATACTTGAAATTGTTTTCAATCAGTATTTTTCTGGTACGAAAAGATCGGAGCTGGTCCCACAGCGACAATTACAGTAGCCCAACAATATGTTTATTTTCCGGATTCATTTTCCCGCTTTTGTCAATTTTTCTGGCATTTTTTTTTCCAGAAAAGTCGCAAAAATTGATAGTATAAAATTGACTGAAAACTCACGAATTCGTGATAATAAATCCGGGAAATAAAAATACTTTTAGGTTACGGTAGCTGTCGTTGTGGGACCTTCGGCCACCGTCCACAGCTCTGATTTTTTTTTCGTATAAGAATAATATACTAACCACTCCAATCGTGTCGGTCATCTTTCTTTCAGCAGCCTCAGCAATATCTTCTCCATATACGAACTTCTCTCCGTTCTCGTTGCGCACATCGTTCTCCTGAAGCCAAGCGATCGCCTCCTTGTATTGCATTCTTCTGAATGGACGAACTGGTGCTGTATATCCCTAAAAATAAGCTCCCTAGAATTTTTGTTAATATGGAAGAGGGACTTACAGGGTTGACGAATTGGATCAATCCAGCGGTCACTGGATCAGCGAGAAGACGATCGACAGTGTCACAAACAAGACTTTCGATACGATCCATGAGTTGATCGAAAGTGATGAAAGCGCATTCAGCTTCCACGTGTTGGTATTCGGAGAGATGACGACGAGTACGAGATTTCTCAGCCCTGTATGATTGAGCAATACAGTAGACGTCTCCAAGAGCAGCGTTGCAAGTCTCCAGATAAAGTTGAGAGGATTGTGTCAGATAAGCGGGCTCTCCATAGTAATCAAGTCCGAATAACGTGGATCCTCCTTCAACTTGAGTTTGGACCAGAGTTGGTGGTGCCACTTCAGTGTAGCTGGCAGCGAAAAAGTGATCTCTCATGGCACGAGTGGCAGCAGCTCGGATTCTGAGAATCCTCGAAGCGTTCTCTCCACGGATTACGAGATGGCGGTTGTCGAGCATGACATCTACTCCAGCGTCCTTGTTGAGAACGTTGTCGATTCCACCGGCTGGTGATCCTCCAATAAGCTCCCAGTAGTCCACAGTGAGCTCGTGGCCATCTGGAGCATCTTTTCCATTTGGAACAGCTCTGATAACTCCATAGACTTGAACAGACGACTCTGTTGAGAGAGTCACTGCGTCATAACTTTGACAGAGTTTGTCGTTGAGAACGCATTGAAGGAATCCGTATCCATCTCGAAGGATAAGGAACATCAGAGACTTTCCTTGGCGGCGAAGACGATGCACCCAGGCCTTAATGGTTACACGCTGATCACGATGAGCAGTAGCTTGTCCGATTTTGATAGTTTTGGCTTCCGGAAGAGATTCATCGCGAGTGAAGGTGATTGCTCTGGCGGCTTCGATAGCAGCATCATGAGCTTCTTGGGCGTGTTCTGCTTCTTTTTCTCTCACTGCCGCTTTTTCTAGTTTCTTCAATTCAGCCTCATACTTCTTGGCGGATTTCTTGAGAGCAGCTTTTGAGACTGGCTCCCAACTCTCATCACCTCCTTCTGCCTTTGTCTTCATATGATACGATCCAGTGTTTTTCGAGATAAGCATGGCCTGGAATGATTTATGCTTTTAGTTTGAGCCCTATAATTTTTTTGCTCGATAAAATTTACCTGAACCAAAGTGGCCAATGGTTGTTCCTCGGTTCCTGGGTTCTCATCGGATCCAGCTTCAACGTCGATGTAGAACTGTTGTGCCGCCATTTTTTACCTTGAATTTGAGATAAATAGAGCTCAAATATGTACAAAAGCCTAATAAGTATGTACAAAATACACAGTCACAACAAGTAGTTACTTTAGATGTATGAATTGTTAAATTCTGAATTTCCCACAGCTAGGCTACTAATTTATGGTTCGGAAAATGAGTGAAAGTGGAAGAAATCTGATGAAAATTCCAACGAGAGTCAGGTTGTGCAATCGCAAGAAAGTTTCGTAAGATTCGATGTTTGCGGAGTGAACTTTTTTTTCCTGAGCAAGAACATGAAATAAATGAGGAATTTTGAAACATTTTAGCACTAAACTCTTGAAAGAACAACTGGCTTTCAATAAAACTTTATAACTTCGAATGTAACCAAGACGGCTTTAGCAAAAAGCCATTTGAAAAATTTTATATAGCTTCCGATACGGTGTTCAACAACAAATTGCGCATTGGACGCAGGCATTTTGACCAACGACAGTTTGCGTCCAGTGTCGGACATCAATTATTTTTTTTGACTTTGTGTCAGCTGATAAATCATAATTCCCCGTATTTCTAGTAATTTTCGAAAAAATTAGAATTGTCAGAATGTTGACAATCTTCTTTTCACGATAATGCCCACTAGCCATCCTTACTTTTTCGTTTTATGAGCCTCTGAAAAATGTTTTCTTCTGAACCGTTTTATGATTTCTCAACCTCTCAAAGTTCTTATTTTCAGTGATGAACCGACTCCTCCAACAGACCGCTTCGCGCGGCTCGTTGGCCGTTCGCGCTTCATCAACAGTAACCACAAAGCCGCCAGCACCAAATCAGATCACCAAGCAAAATGCGCAATTCGATAAGGTCACCCATACTGGACAAGTGAGTTTTTGAAAAAATCAGTGTCAAATTTGAAAAACGTCTATTTTCAAGGCTTGGGATCAATCAGACTACCGACTCCAACGTTTCGACATCTCCAAGAAGAGCGTTAACCCAAACGTGGCGATGTATTTGATCGATCAGCGCCCACCGGAGGATTGTGGTGATAAGAGAATTGTCTGGTGTGATGGAGGACATCCAGCTCTTGGACACCCAAAGGTTTATATCAATTTGGTGAGTTTTTTTTAATTTTGAAAAATTATAATTAGCAAAAAACTCGGCCTTTTTCAGGATAAGCCAGGAGTCCATGCATGCGGATATTGCGGCAACCGATTCTACAACTCTCACGCGACGAAAGGAGAGGACATGAAGATTCAGCACCTCAATTGCTAAACAATTTTTAGATTCTCTTTTTATGTTTGGTATGTATGCAAAACAAAATAAGACATTAGAAGTACCTTTTTTATCTCTAAAATTTTTGGTTTTTCAAAAATGAACATGAAAATGGGTGTGCAACCAAAAAAGAGGGGATACAATGGAGATCAAGGATAGATAATAGTGAACGAGACGATATTCAAATTATTTGATAGGAATAGTGAAGAATGGATGCTTGAGTGCTTCATTACAAGTGATTCTTTTGCTAGGATCCAGAACGAGCATACCGTCGAGAAGACTTCTGAAGGCTTGTACCTGAAAATTCAAAAAATTGTGGTCATAACCCAATCAGCCATATCGTGAAAATTAACCGAAGATGAGCACCGCTCATGACCTGATATTCTATTTTCGCTCTTATAAAATCCCCACTCCTGTAATTTAACGGAGTGGCGAGGAACATAGAGCGGGGAGGGAATCGAACCCGGGACCCTTTGAATAGTACTCTGCGTCACAACCACTACACTACAACTAGCCCCGTTACACTCACCTGTTCCATCTGTTCTCTTCCCAGTCGTTGACCAGCAATCAATTCCGACTCAAGACAACGCGTTGGTTTGAGATTTGCGAGTACCGTAATTTTGTTTCTCTCGGTGACTTTATCAACTTCGTGGTACAACAGGTTGCAATTCACATCGAAGTGGGTATCCTTGAATTGTGATTTCCGGACAAGCTTATTTGGATATTTTCCCTTGACATCAGTGAACAATTTCAACATGTGATTGTTTGATCTTCCTGGGAACATGATTTTTCCAGTGTATACCTCGTAAAGGGTCACAGCGACGGACCACAGATCAATAGCGTAGTCGTGACGGACACCGAGCACTGAAAATGAACGAATATAACTCTGAAGCTCTTAAAATTAAAACTCACTAATTTCCGGTGCACGATAAAATCTTGAAACTAAGTAAGGCGCCAACTCTTGCTCATTGACCCGTCCTGCCGATCCAAAATCACACAATTTGAGAGTCAGTTTCGACTCATTCACCAGAATATTATCCGGTTTAATATCCGCATGCACGAATTCCAATTTCTTCAGAAGACGAAGCGCGAGAAGAAGCTGTTGCGCGTAGCTCCGAACCGCCTTTAAGTGAAGACCATCTTTCTGTCCGTACTTCTTCAAAAGCTCTCTCAAATTCATACTCAAGTTCTCAAACACCAAACACAGGTGGTTATGATGTTTGAAGGTTCTGAACAGACGAAGACAGTGGTACTTATCCTCCTTATCAGCTTCGTTGAGCTTCCGCAGAACTTCTAGCTCTCGGAGTCCAGTTTTATACATAACCTCGTTGTTTCTGATAATCTTCACAGCTACCGTATTCCCTTTGGTTTGATCATTGCATCTGCACACATTACCGAAGACTCCAGCTCCAGTGAATCCAACGACTCGGTAGCGAGTATCCAAAAGTTCTCCGATTCTCACCCGATAGTAGCCCTCAACATCATCCCAGTTATCTTTGAGAGTATCGTGAACCGCTCCAGAATGCCCATCAATCGTAGTACTATCCTGTGGAAGCTCCTCGTTATCAGCGAACATATCGAAACCATCATCGTCTGCTTCTTCTTGATTCTTCTTCTCCGCTGCTTCTTTCCTCTTTTTCTCTTTCTCAGCTTCTCGTTTCTCCTGTTCCTTCAACTTGGTCTGCCAATCCTCGCGTATCTCATCTTCCTTCTCTCTGTTCAGTGTCTCATCCACACTATGCTCATCAGCACCAGCCATATGAACCATTTTATCTCGGAGTCCGGCAAAAAAGTCAGTTGGAGTGTCGTTATCAGATTGGAAGCTAGCAGGAGTGGAGGTGCCGCTGTTTTCGCTGTCGAAACGGGTCTGGAAGATTAAAACGTTTGGAAAAGGCCTAATTTTGACATAATTCAATTTGTATTATGTAATTGATTTCCTTCAGAAACGAGAAAAAAGCTTACCGATTTAATGAGAGCTCTTGCCTCGGCCAACTGCTTGTCCTGCTCATTATCACTGTCAGAATCTGAGCTGCTGTCTTCAGAATCATCAGTTTTCTTGCTGGTGACTGCGTCACTTCTCGGCGTGCTGCTGCCTTCGCGTGGAGTCTGAAAGTTTGAAAATAGTTAGACCTAGATTGAAAACTTTGCAAATGTATGATACCAACTCACATTTTCACCAGTCTCTTCTCCTTCCATCTTTTTCATTATTTGTAATCGTCTCTTTCTAGCTTCCTCAATCTTCTTCTGCTCATCATCAGAATCCGAATCCATCGTCCACTCAATCTTCTCTTCTTCTTTCTTCTCACCATCTCGATCGCTACGCCGTCTATCTCGATCGCCACGTCTTCTATCAGGGCTCCTTCTGTCACTGCGATGATCATCGCCTCTTTTCCGATCGTCTCGAACGTTTCTCGCGTTCTCCACGCTCCTATCACGTCTTCTAGTATCTCCGTGTCGTCTATGATCATCCCGTTGTCGCTGAGTCTCTCTGTCCCGCCGCTCAGCTTCTCTTCTTCGACGAAGCTCTCGATCTCGTCGTTCCGCACTTTTGGAGCGTTCTCTTCGTGGCGGACTTTTACGATCACGACTTTTCGATCTCTCTCGTCTCTCAGAATCCTTTCTACCCCTTCTCTGCGATCCATTCTTCCCATTCTTCTCGTCCTCTACATTCCGTCGTTTTGCTGGAGGTTCGTCCGCTACTTCTCGATCCTTATCTCTTCTATGCTTTTTCTCCTTTTTGTGTTTCTTTTCCTTCTTGTGTTTCTTCTCCTTCTTATGATGCTTCTTCTTCTTCTCTCCCTTTCCAGCAGACCTCTCAGAATCCGTTCTAACTCTTTTCTCGGATTCCGATTCGGATGCCGTTGACGACGCACCGTCTGTCTTCACCTCTCCATCCTCATCGACAATAGGTTTCTCCATGGTGACCTGAAACGATTAATATTCAATTTTTCTTGCTCCGAGCTCATCCAAAACTGCTAAATACCGCAACGAGTGGTACCGGGTAACGAGAAGAAGCCGCATTGTCTTCAGCGTATTGATTGAAGGTGCGCAGAAAACAAAAGGAGATCTATCTTAAAATTATATTGAAAAGAAAGAGAGGAGGAGGAAAAAAAAAGACAAGAAAAACAACTGGATTAGTAGGTTTAACAGGTGTCATGGGAACCAAATTGTATGTTCTTTTCTAGTTTTTGAGCTGAATTCGAAATAGATTTTTGTCATGACACCTGCTTGTCTAAAAAATCTATAAAAGCGACCAAAAACCATTGGAAAAGTGTTTAATGACACAAGAAACCAAAAAATGTAACTTTTTCCTTCTGAAAAGGAAAAAAATAACAAGAAATTTGCTTCATTTTCGAAACTCCTTGTTGTTGTGAACACAGAAAGCATCGAGAAGCGGGTCAAAGGAGAGGAGAAAGGCGTCAAAGTTAGAGTCTTGCGCCGAAAAAAGAGAAAACTGGTAGAAAAGGTCTTTCAAAACTGGTGAAGCGAGGGATGGATGGAGAAAATTGAAATTTTTGAAGTAGAAAAATATAAAACGTATACATTTTATGCGAAAATTCAGAAACCACCGTAGTTATTTGAAATCGTTGCGAAACCTTTGAATCTTGTTGTTTCTGCGCCTTTAATTTGGTATCTTTTTAAAATACGTTTTTTTTGAAAAGACACAAAATGCACTAAATGCTCACAAGAAGGTTTTATGCCAAATAACGGCAATGTATGTAGAAAAACCAGCAAATTTCTAGTTTGCTTTCCTCTGAATAACCGTATTATAAAACCACCGTAGTTGTATTGATCTTTGCGAAACCTGTAGAGATTTTCGCTTATGCACCTTTAATTCGGTAATTTTTAAACCATTTTTTTCTTATTTTAAGATAACATAATATGCTTGTTTTATGGCAATTACAAGCATAAATCACATAGTTTCGCAATTTCGTTTTACAATGAGCAATACTTTTTTCTTCCACCCAGAAATTCATAATTATTTTCAGCCTAGAAACAAATGATATCGGTTGGAATTCGTCTAACCGATCAGGTATTTCCCGGTCCCGAAGAACCGATCGCCGTGTTTCCTGGCGGTACCGAGAATCCGAAACAAATTTTGGATGGAATCGACAAGGAAGGAGTTGCACATGTTAGTTCTAAAACTGTCAAAGATTTTTTTCATTTAAAAAAAATCTATTCCAGATCAAACGAATTATTCTGAATCGTACTGCTAACGTGGAATTCCTCCGTGCCGAGTCTCCATCTCGTATTTGGGTCCGTCTCCAAAATCACATCACCGACACAACGCTGACGTTTCGGGAGCCGTAAATCACCAACATTTTCTATGCTTTATAACTAAAATGTTTCAGATTCCCCCTAAAATCAAAGCTAGAAATTCGAAAAGATGATTATGCACTGGCTCCCATCGACGAGCGCGTCTACCGGCGATGCCGAATAATCGAGACAGAAAACGAGAATGGTCTGATTCAAATCTTCTTCATCGACGACGCCACAACGGCATGGGTGAAGTCGGAGTGTCTTGCAATTATGGATGAGCATTACATGTTCTATCCATGGCAGGCTATTCAGATTTCCATGTTCGGTGTCTATCCGTCAGTTGTGGATCATTCTGGGAAGGTTTGTTTTTTTGCTAACGTTTCGTAAAATAGACAAACAGAGAGTTGGCTTAATGGCTGAAAAAGAACGGCCAAGTATTTCTTGTGATACTTGAAGCAAAGTTCTATTTCACATCACAGTCATCACAGGGGGGACCCTTATGTGATTTTTTTCGAGTTTTTCGATCTTTTTTGATCAGACAGACAAACAATCCGAAATACGAAAAAAAATGGAAAAAATTGTATTGAGAGCTCAAAATTTGGCTCAAAAATACAGAATTTTTGACACCGGGCCTTGAAAATTTCCTCAGGCCCGGCCCAACATTTTACAAGTTTGGTAAATTCGAAATAGTAAGAGACAGCAGTAGCGGTGAGAGAAAATGCGATGTGGAAAAAGAGAATGTAAACAAATGATTCAGGCTAATTTCCAAAGAATAGCAGCCAATTTTATTGTTCATCCATCTCTTTTCTGACGAACTTCACAACTATCGAAAAGTTGTTTTTTCAGCTCGAACAGCTCTGGTCCATACAAACGTGCAACAAGCTCAGCCAAATCCTCCGTGCATTCCCCATTCTGCGAGTGCAAGTTGCTCTCTCTACAGTGGTATTCAACGACTACGCCAAACCGATTCCAGTGAAGCTCTTTGGAATCCCACCTGGCGTCGAGGAGCGCGAGTATCACTATCGTGCAATGTCGATTTCTCAAATTCTGGAGGGAGGTCTTCCGATGCCAGCAGAGCCAGAAGAAGAAGCCAAGGATGACGTCGATTCTGATGAAGAGGAGGTGCTGGAAACAGGACCATCGGTGAGAAAAGAAGAAGTTGACAACAAGCCACCAGAGATAGTGTGCATGGATCTGTACGATGCGGCGTTTCACGAGATTTTCGATGTCGCTGAGAGAGACCAAATCCCAACGGAGCCTCTAGATATTCATTGTGAGTTCCCAAAAGACTGGAAGGAATCAGATGATGCGGAGGAAGAGGAGAAGAAGGAGAAAGAGGAAGAGTTGTACAGCAAAGATTCGTTGACAGTGAAGTTGGAGCATGCCGATTGGGATCCAAGACTGAATAAAATCGAGATGATGACAGTCAAGGAATTGGGAGAGAAGTAACTTTTCGCTGAGTGCGTTGAATTCCATAAATTCGATTTTTAGATTCCGTTTCTCGGAGGACGATAAGGAGCCACGCATCATGTTAGCTGTGGAAGGAAGATGCACAAAGAGCCCGTATGAGTGGTATGCAAGGCCAATTGTCAAGTGAGTTTCAGATATTATGCCAGAACAAAAATCAGATATATGGAAGAGAAACACCGGTGGCTGTGGCCGAAGGTCCTACAACGTCAACTACCGTAACCTAAATCAGTAAAAAACTCTTTGAAAAAATGTTTTTAGGTTACGATAGTTGTCGTTTTATGGAACTTCGGCCACGGCCACCGGAGTTTCTCTTCCATAGATCTGATTTTTTGTATTTATCAGAAAAATGATGCAGATTTCCAAAAATTTATTAATTATAGAACTGGCAAAAATAAACGCGAAGAGAATGTTGCATGGGGTACCGATTCGGATCTTCGAGAGGTTGACGAGACTGATTGGATGTTGTATGGAAACGATCAGCTGACAAGTGTCGCTGAACAACTCGACACCTTCTATTCGAATACGAAGAATCGGAAGCCATTGAGAACCGTGGAAATGTAAGTGAACATTTTAGAACTGAATGAAACGAAAGTTCCTAAATTGTCAGCCAAGCCATGATGCAGGAAAAGCGAGATGTGTTTGCTGTGTGTGCTGTGAACGAGGAGAAAGCAAACTACACAGGCGAATGGCAGAGAGTACTGATTGTTAATTGTGATCAGTTCGCGGAAGTTCGATTCTTGGATTCTGGTGGTCGTGATATGGTACTCACTAGTTCGCTCTATCGAATTCATGAACAGTAAGTGAGATTAAGTCTTTCATTTCGGTCAGCTCGGTTGACGGTTTCCGGCCGATCGAAATGGAAGGTTTAAGAGACACAGTTAAGCAAAAAGTTTATTAGAAGAAAGTTGTTAAACTTTTCGAATCAATCTCTTTTTGGCTTCCGGAGTTTGCTCTCTTGACACGGTACTTGGCTTACTGCCAGAAGGCGTTGCTGTCGTCGACGTACTCTTTTTCCTTCTCCGTCTTCTTCTCACAACAACGCGCCTCTCCCTGACAAGATTCGTCGGCACTCGCTGTTGCTCCTCCCACTTCTTGCGTTCCTCAGTTAGATCTCGATGATTGTTATGCCAGATGCGAATGAATGCCAGAATAAAAGTGGCCGACCAGATCATTACGGGGATTCCTGGGGAAATTTAAATCTTGAGGATATGATGAAAGTAGCTGTACCTAATAGATAATAGAAAAGGAAATCTTTCTCATTCATTTTGAAGAGACTTACATTGAAAAATAATGCAAATTAGAAACTGAAAAAGAAAAACCCACGTTAGCCAACTATTGACACACTTCACATTTTCAGACACTGCCGCTTCCCACCGATGTGTCTTCGATTCGCCATTCACGGAGTCTCTACAAGACTGAATTCTGGAAGTTGGTGAAATCAAAGATTCTTCTCAAAACTTAATTATTCCAGGAGAGGATGGCAAATGGCACTCGAATGAAATCGCTCGCTTCAGAATGTGCCTTCGTGAGGATACACCGATTTTCATCAATATCGCTGATAGTGAGTTGATTTTGAAAATTATTCTATGAACTTATGAACTTTCCAGTCGTCCCACTGCCTGCACCAATGGATAAGGAGCGTCGTGTGCACATGGCTAGACATGTTTTGATGGCTAAGGATGTATCGGTAAGAACCTCTTTTCAACTATTCTCTAAAAATCTGTATTTTTAGTATATGGATGAGACACGCTCTCTGTTGGATCGATTCTTGAACGATGAAGATTCGGTGAATGCAGTGAGAAACCCAGAGCTACCATGTCAATGGCCACCATTTTAATAATTGTTTTGTTGTCCTGACCTACTTTGTACAGCACCCATTTGTTTGCGCGTGACCACTGCCCACCTAGTTTCACTTGGCTGCATGTTGGCTCCACGTGTACCTGATCAAACACCTTGTATCTGAATCTCCCACCCCGAAATAAGAACTTCTCCCGATTCTTCTTCTTTATTGCTAAATACATTTTATCGAGACAACAGAGAAACAATATGAGCGGTAATGCATTCGAGGGAAGCATGAATCCCGGGACTGCCGAAGATCAGAAAAAGGTATGGAAGATCTGAAGGTGGTGTCTGAAGACGTCTTCTCCATTCAGATACACCTATGGCTCGAGTCGATCATCTTTCGTTTTTTCCATGTTTGGTCGCCGGTGAATTGTCAGGATATGCTCAAAAGATATGAGATTTTTGAATTGTGTCTTCGGACAAGAGAGCTGTTCTGGTCGAAACCGCTCTATAGAGAAGTTTGTGTTTTTTTGGGGATATTATCAGTGGAGCGCGTTTAAACAACTACTTTTTTGAGACGCATCAAATTTCAAGGAAAAAATTTCCGAGAAAAATTGGGCGTGAAGAAACTTTCAGAATTTCGGTTCTCAAACTCTCCAATTCGGAACTTGAGAAGTTGAGAAATTTAAAAGTTTCAAAAATCTGAATTTTCTAAAATTCAAAAACTCGGAAAATTGGCGATCCAAAAATTTGAAATATTGAAAAGTCGGATTTTGAAAAATTCAGAAATTCCGGAACTCAAATTTTCCAGCATTAAAAAATCTTTAAAAAATTTCCAGAAATCCAGTTCTCAAATTCTCCGAGGAATTTAGAAATTCATAAATTCATAAATTGGGAAAGTCTGAAATTCAGAAATTCAGATATTCGGAAATTCAGAACTTTAAAGTTTAGAAATTTGTAAAGGCAGAAATTTAACCAATCCAAATTTAGGGTATTCATGAATTATTTTCGAAAACTTGGAAATTTTGAAATTGAAAATGTTTATACTAAGAAAATTCGGAAATTTCTGAATCTCTCAATTTTTGAAACTACATTCACTGTAATTCTGAATTAATAATTTTTGAATTTCTGTAGTTCTGTAAGTTTCGGGATTTCTCAAATTTCAAAAATTTTGCTTTTCTGAACCTTCGAAATCCGAAATTCAGGGATTTCCGAATAAAGTTGGAAAATTCGGAAATTCGAAAAATAACAAATTCAAAAACTCTAATTTATGATTTTTTTCCGCTTTTATCTCCTTAAATTCAGGTCGAGGTTCCCGTCACCATCGTCGGCGATATTCATGGTCAATTTGAGGATCTAAAAATGATGATGGATATGAATGGGTGGCCATTCAGTGAGGATGAAGCAAAAGAAATGTATCGAAATATGGTAACAAAGAATCGAAAAGATATAAAAGTCCAACTACCAGCCACTTTGGGATCGGGAACCGATCGTCAGAAGGGACCAAAAAATTATTTGTTTTTGGGTGATTATGTGGATCGAGGCCCGCATTCGATCGAAGTCGTTTTGATGCTGTTTGCGATGCATTTGAGATGGCCAGATCGAGTGACACTGCTACGTGGAAATCATGAATCACGACCTGTGAATCGACAGTATGGATTCTTCGGAGAGTGTTCGAGAAGATATAGTGAAAGGTGCGAAAATGATTTCTGTAGAGGGATGAGAATCGAAGGTTTCAGAGTCTACGAAGTTTTCCAGTTGGCATTCAATGTGATGCCTCTCACTGCAATCGTCAACAAGAGGATCATGTGTATGCATGGAGGGATCTCAGAGGAACTTTATGATATGAAACAGGTAATTGGGACAGTTTTCTTTTTTTTGGAAACGGCTGGTTTCTTTATCATGATTGCCTAACTTTTGAAAGTTTTAATTTTCTAGGCCATCATGGTAAACGTCCTAGTAATGACTTACTATGATTTACTATTGATTTACTAAATATTTACTATGGCGGTCTAAAAACTGCACTTATGAAAGTTAGGCCACCATGTTAAATGGCATAAAAACACATCAAATGGCAAAAATTAGGCCACTTTAGGTATTAAGAAATCAGGACGAAAATACACTGATTTTTGCAGCTAGATGCTCTGAAACGCCCTTTGGATACCCCTGATATTGGAATTATCGCTGACTTGACCTGGGCAGATCCTGAGACTGAAATTGAAATGTACAAGGAATCGCCACGTGGCGCTGGCAAGATTTTCGGAGCAAAAGCAGTCGACGAATTCTGCAAACACTTCTCGCTTGATCTGATAGTCAGAGCTCATCAAGTGGTTCAAGATGGATACGAGTTTTTTGCCGATAAGAAGTTGGTGACTATCTTCTCGGCTCCATTTTATTGTGGGCAAACGAACAATATTGCGTCGATGTTGAACATTGATAGTGATATGGTATAGGAAGGATACTGTACATTTGAACTACTGATTATCTTGTAGGTCGCCTCGTTTATGCTCGTCAAGCCAGTTACGGAAATCAAAGAGAATCTGAATGTGGGAGAGAAAGCGGAGGAGGAGAATCTGCAGTAGAGAGGAGAACTTCTAATTTCTTTTTTGTAATAATAAAGACGATTCTTTTGATGTTTGTGTACATTGTGGATTACTGTAGCTATCACTTTCAATTGTACATCATACTCCAGATATTTGAGTTTTAGTCTGAACAATGAAACATAACACAAGCTTGACTCCAAAAAATGATTAATTATTTTGTGCTAAAAGTAGATGGTCGAAAAAATTTTCAAAAAGTTTATTGGACATCTTCGGTTGATGGCAAATTGAAACGGTTGGAGTAGATGGATATTGGAATATGATGACTCTGAAATTATTGGAGATGAATTTGTTTTTATGGGTTTTTGACCTTACATTTATTGTAAAAAGATGTTGTTGGCTGCGTTAGATAGTCAAGACCCTGTCCCAAAAGTCGTAAAAAATTTTTGTTCAAAAACGAATTTAGAGTTTGTAGTCAAAAGAAAGAATTTTGAAAATCAGTTTTTTTCCAAAACAGGTTTGAATTTTCTCACCAAAAAGCAATAAATAATTTTTAACCGAAGTAAATTTTCAACGGTTTAATTAGATTTTCACCAAAAATGCGATAAATATAAATTTTTTGAATTTCTCTCAAAAATGAATGCGGCTTTTTGCCCAAAATGCGGTATAATTTTTTAAATTTTGTTTCGAAAATGAAGGAAGATTGCAATATTATATTTTTAATCATCCGAATAGTAGTCTTGGCGCTGGTCTTGTTCTGTCGAATGATTTTCTTCTTTCCAATTGGAATGGAGACGAAGGTCGTGTCACCACTGGAGAAGTATATGGACTGGAGATGTCGAGGACTGGAAGTGGCTGTCGCACAGGTGTTGAAGGGGAGCCTGAAATTCTTGGGGAGATTTTTGGAGACACTTTTTCAGTTTTAGATTTTGGAGAAACAGTTCTAGGTTTCTTGGTGATGGGACTCTTTGGAACTTCCGGTGAAACTGAACCATGTCGGAGTTCAGAGCACTCGGAAGCTGGTTCCTCAGATTCCCCTCTCTTTAAACTTGTCTTTTCTCTCTCGGAAAGATTCTCGAAGATCCGTGGTTCGTTCAACAGCTCAACACATGTTGGACGTTTGGAAGCATCAAGGTTCATCATTCGTTGAATGAGACTACGGAGTCCGTCACTTCGTCCAGCAAAGAAACGATCTGGAATCTGAAAATTTTTATACTTCACCTTATAATCTGCATCCGTGTCCAAATGGAGATTAGTGGCAGTCTCGAGTATCGCGACCCCAAGTGCATAAACATCAGATTCCTTTGACGACGTCCCGTTTGTCAGAACTTCAGGAGCAAGATAGCAAGAATCTCCCTCGATTCCCTTAGAACAATCGGCTCTTCTCATTAGACCAAAGTCGGCTAATTTGAAAACTAAATTGAACGAAACGAGGATATTCTCTGGTTTGATGTCATTGTGCAAGTAATTATTCCTATGAAGTGCCCGAAGTCCAGACAATATATGAGCAAAAAATCGATAAATGATAGGCTCGTCCAGTCGACTTTTACCGTATTCCAGCAAGTTCATACAACACAACTCCGTTTGGATATGGATAAAGTTGTTTTCAATCCAGGCCTTGTGGAATCGAAGAAGATTTGGATGATGTGGTAGTAGATGCAGCATTTCAACTTCCTTGAACTTGTTAAGTTCGCCCGGCTTGACTTCTTTCTTCGACTTTTTAATAGCATAAACTGTTCCATTGTTTTCACCACGCCAAACATCACCAAAATCTCCACTTCCGATTATCTTCCGATCCGAAAACATCTGTTCTATGATGGATTTATCAGAAACGTATCCTTCGAAATCGAACGGGGTGAGGACACCTGAAAGAAGTTTTGTTTTTGAATGAGAAGGAGAAATGATTATTTTGAATGTAGGGATAACGGAGACTAAAAACGAAAAAAAACACAAACTCACCATTTTTACCGATCAGCTGTGGTCCCAACTTCACTTCCGCTGTCCCCCTCAATGACTTTCGTGGTTTTACAATTGTCTTTATAGATGGACATTTTACTCTATGGGGAACTCTTTCCCGCCATTCATCTTTAGTTTGCAATTCCATGAGAAACTGAAAATATGGAAAGTATGAGTTTTATAAATTCTGGGAATGATTAGAGGAATGTAACAAACGAGAAGGAAAAACAAAAGTTATTCAGGAATTAGGATGAAATAGAAGAGGAAGAGAGAGGAAGCTATGGGGTGTGGGTAAAAAAGAGCTGAAATACATACAGTATACTTTAGGGTATATGAAAAAGTTAAGAATTCCAATAAGACGTCGAAATTTGAATCACTCAGTGTGATTTGGCCATTTCAGAAACGGAAAGCGTTAAAAAACAAGAAAGAGTTTCGAAAAAAAAAGTGGATTAGTCTGATAGAGGATGCCGTCGGGGTTCATAATGATCTCTAAAGAGAGTATCAAGAAATAGTTTACAAGGAAACAAAATCCTGGGTAATGGAAGAAGAAAGAAGGATTTAGAAAAAATCGATGTCAAAATTTCGCTAGTTCCGAAACTGAAGACTCGGAGAGCCGGTATAAGACGACCATTCGGGAGACCGAAAAGTGGAGTGAATGAATGAAGATAGTGAACCCCAACGCCTAATATGAAGGGGCGGAGCAACCGGCCGTCCTCCCACGTACCATGTACTAAGAATGCTAGAGGAACTGTCAATTTTCTAAACTATGTGTTCTTCCGGGAAACAGGATATGAGCCCTCCCTACGTATCTTAAAAGGGACCGAAAGTATCTTGAAAATGGTTCTCGATTTTATGAGAGCGACCATTCAGAAGACATGAACTAAATTAATGAGGGAATTGGATGAGACTCCGGGTCTAAAAAGGAAATCTTATAGAAAAAACCATGAGGACTGTCTGATTAGGCCATATAAGATGAAGAAGTTGAAAAAGAAAAAGAGTTTTGAGAAACATTGATTATTCTGATAGGGGCTGTTGTGATGCTAATAATGAGTTCTACAGAAAGTGGAGAGACAGAAAAAGATTAAGAAAAACAGAAGAAAAATCGATATGAAAAGTAAGAAGACTCCCGAAGTACAAAAAATCAACAGATTCGGAGAGCGGGGATGGGAAGACCATTCGGAAGACCGAACAGAGGAATGAATGAATGAATAAACGAAGAAAGTGAGAAAGGATGTCTCACTTGAAAAGGCGGAGCCAAAAACACTCCTCCCAATGTGATTCCTTTGCCCCAGGGAACGAAGCCCTCCCATGTGTTGTACCAAGAATGCTAGAGGAACTGTCAATTTAATAAACTATGTGTTCTCACAGGAAATAAGCGGATATGAACCCTCAAATTATACCAGGCGCATAAAAACATTGACAGTATTGTTGCATGAGTTTTCAGATTCTGAAAAAGGGTGATGGGATCACAAGAGAACATGCGTGTAGGTAGAATACCTGTTTTTGAATCCGTGAAAGAAAATAAAAACTGTCGTTAAATGGAATCCAAACATTCAGAAGAAAAACGTATAGATTCATTCTTTCTGTTCAAAAAAGACGCAATATTTTTCTCAGGGAAAGAATGAAGAATGATAGTATTTTTTAGCCAACCACGAACCCCGGCAGGATACTGTGTCGGTGCCATCCGAAAAGAATGATAGTATACAGGCGGCTAAGGAATAAGTTCAAAGACTGGATCCTTTTTATAATTCTTTCGTCTTTCAGTGCATTGGTACACTTACAGTATCCTCTTTGTAAATACCGATACTGGATTTCTTGTCCCCTGGGAAGAATGTTGTGTGACCTCGTTTTTCAGAGAAGATGAAAATCTGTAAATATGGTTTTTGGCAGGAATTGCTAGACGGATTAAACGGAAATAATCGAAAAGAGCACTAACTAATTCTTATGATATATTTCAAGCGGGATTGGCGAGGAAAAGGACGTTACAGTTTCAAAATGATATTTTTGTCTGTTTGTGTGGTAAAACTATTGTTTTATGAGATGTTGGTTGTAATCTAATAACGCGTCTCTACATGGGTTCCCACTCTTCAGAATTTTACAGCGTGCTCATGCAACCTGAAGATCGAGGCTCCCACTCATCAACAACCCATTCCCATTTTTCTGCTTTTTAAAAATACTACACGATTTCGGCTTGTGCCAGTTAGAAATTGATTTTTTCTAAATCCTTCTTTCTTCTTCCATTACCCAGGATTTTGTTTCCTTGTAAACTATTTCTTGATACTCTCTTTAGAGATCATTATGAACCCCGACGGCATCCTCTATCAGACTAATCCACTTTTTTTTTCGAAACTCTTTCTTGTTTTTTAACGCTTTCCGTTTCTGAAATGGCCAAATCACACTGAGTGATTCAAATTTCGACGTCTTATTGGAATTCTTAACTTTTTCATATACCCTAAAGTATACTGTATGTATTTCAGCTCTTTTTTACCCACACCCCATAGCTTCCTCTCCTCTTCCTCTTCTATTTCATCCTAATTCCTGAATAACTTTTGTTTTTCCTTCTCGTTTGTTACATTCCTCTAATCATTCCCAGAATTTATAAAACTCATACTTTCCATATTTTCAGTTTCTCATGGAATTGCAAACTAAAGATGAATGGCGGGAAAGAGTTCCCCATAGAGTAAAATGTCCATCTATAAAGACAATTGTAAAACCACGAAAGTCATTGAGGGGGACAGCGGAAGTGAAGTTGGGACCACAGCTGATCGGTAAAAATGGTGAGTTTGTGTTTTTTTTCGTTTTTAGTCTCCGTTATCCCTACATTCAAAATAATCATTTCTCCTTCTCATTCAAAAACAAAACTTCTTCAGGTGTCCTCACCCCGTTCGATTTCGAAGGATACGTTTCTGATAAATCCATCATAGAACAGATGTTTTCGGATCGGAAGATAATCGGAAGTGGAGATTTTGGTGATGTTTGGCGTGGTGAAAACAATGGAACAGTTTATGCTATTAAAAAGTCGAAGAAAGAAGTCAAGCCGGGCGAACTTAACAAGTTCAAGGAAGTTGAAATGCTGCATCTACTACCACATCATCCAAATCTTCTTCGATTCCACAAGGCCTGGATTGAAAACAACTTTATCCATATCCAAACGGAGTTGTGTTGTATGAACTTGCTGGAATACGGTAAAAGTCGACTGGACGAGCCTATCATTTATCGATTTTTTGCTCATATATTGTCTGGACTTCGGGCACTTCATAGGAATAATTACTTGCACAATGACATCAAACCAGAGAATATCCTCGTTTCGTTCAATTTAGTTTTCAAATTAGCCGACTTTGGTCTAATGAGAAGAGCCGATTGTTCTAAGGGAATCGAGGGAGATTCTTGCTATCTTGCTCCTGAAGTTCTGACAAACGGGACGTCGTCAAAGGAATCTGATGTTTATGCACTTGGGGTCGCGATACTCGAGACTGCCACTAATCTCCATTTGGACACGGATGCAGATTATAAGGTGAAGTATAAAAATTTTCAGATTCCAGATCGTTTCTTTGCTGGACGAAGTGACGGACTCCGTAGTCTCATTCAACGAATGATGAACCTTGATGCTTCCAAACGTCCAACATGTGTTGAGCTGTTGAACGAACCACGGATCTTCGAGAATCTTTCCGAGAGAGAAAAGACAAGTTTAAAGAGAGGGGAATCTGAGGAACCAGCTTCCGAGTGCTCTGAACTCCGACATGGTTCAGTTTCACCGGAAGTTCCAAAGAGTCCCATCACCAAGAAACCTAGAACTGTTTCTCCAAAATCTAAAACTGAAAAAGTGTCTCCAAAAATCTCCCCAAGAATTTCAGGCTCCCCTTCAACACCTGTGCGACAGCCACTTCCAGTCCTCGACATCTCCAGTCCATATACTTCTCCAGTGGTGACACGACCTTCGTCTCCATTCCAATTGGAAAGAAGAAAATCATTCGACAGAACAAGACCAGCGCCAAGACTACTATTCGGATGATTAAAAATATAATATTGCAATCTTCCTTCATTTTTGAAACAAAATTTAAAAAATTATACCGCATTTTGGGCAAAAAGCCGCATTCATTTTTGAGAGAAATTCAAAAAATTTATATTTTTTTAGTGAAAATCTAATCAAACCGTTGAAAATTTACTTCGGTTAAAATTTATATATTGCCTTTTGGTGAAAATTCAAACCTGTTTTGGAAACAATTATTTTAAAAATTCATTACTTTTTGAACGGGTTCTTGTCTATCGAACGCAGCCAACAACATCTTTTTACAATAAATGTAAGTTCAAAACCCATAAAAACAAATTCATCTCCAATAATTTCAGAGTCATCATATTCCAATATCCATCTACTCCAACCGTTTCAATTTGCCATCAACCGAAGATGTCCAATAAACTTCTTGAAAATTTTCTTTTTTTTAAACTATCTACTATTCGCTCAAAAAATAAACATTTTTTTTGGTCAAACTTCTGCTATTTTTTTTTCTTGTTGAGACTGAAACTCAAAAAATTTGGAGATTTATACAATTTACAGTTACACGAGGTCCTAGCTGGATATACAGTAATCCAGAAAGTTAGTCCTTCGCATTCCCAGCATCGTTCTCCTAGTTGGTGTTTATTTTATTGATCTCTTGTGACAGTTTCATCAGAGAACACATAGTATACATTGACGGTGACTTCCGGTATTCTTGGGACATACAAAAGACGTAGGGCCTTTTTGGCTTCACCTTCTCATCTTCTTTCTAGATAACCTTTTCCAGAGGCACTGTCTACTAGACGGATGTCTCACACTTTGATCTAACTTATCGCGTTTCCTGTTAAAGTTATAAAAAAATTGTCAACTAAAAAGTTACCGTAAAAACTCTATTTGATAGCCACCCCTAATTGAATGCCAGCCTCTAATTTAGTGCCATCTTAGAGCACCCCCGAACAATAGAGTGCCAGCCCCTAATATAATGCCACTGCGGATTTGATGTCACTCTGGTAATAGTTGAAGAATAACACAAAAATCATTCTCTAGTCAAAAATCCTTCTCACAAAAATCATTCTCTTTTTCTTACAATTTCTAGCTTTTTTCAAGCTCAATAGAGATACTGCATTTGTCAAAAATGTTTCAGGATAATACCAGACTCCGAGAATCTCTGAAAAAGAAGTAGAAACATCAAGGAAACCTCGAAAGTCATTTTAGGAAAAAGTTGAAAAACGAGTCCTTATGTGCTGAGTTTCAGTAGAAATTGGCTCCGAACAATAAAGTGCCAGCCTCTAATATAATGCCACCCCCGACTAACTCCGAACAATAGAGTGCCATGGCTATCTAATGAAGTTTTTGCGGTAATCATTAACAAAAATTTATTTCACTTGAGAATGTTATCCCTTAACAATCAACTTTATCACTGTCTTTTTCTGCTTCTTGTTTCCAGTCATATAATCGCCGAAATCGGTTGCCAGCATGTTTCGGACTATCAGGGTTCTCTTGTTCTTGTTGTAGATCGTTTTTCCGGAAGCCATCTTCTTCTTGGTCTGAAACACTTTTTTTAATTGTGTGAAGCTAATTCTACAAAAATCGCTAAAGAAGATTCAACCTTAAAAATATTGCGTATTCCCAAAAATATTTGGGTTTCTAAAATCCATTTGGGCCTCTAATAGTAAAAAACTTTTGGCTAAAAATAATTGGGATATTTTTCTGTGAATTCCTTTGAGACCCAAGTTTCTTGAAACCTTTAAAAATTTTATAATCCACTGATTCGGTAGCCTAACTTTTTCAAACATATTTCAAACATATTATCTTCTTTCTTAAGAATTTCCGACTGTCCTAGGAGACCTATGACCCTTATTCTCTCAGATAAATGTTCCGATGACTTCTTTTTCACCACCGCCCCTATTTGGAATGCAATTGTAAGGAATACTCCCCAATTTTTAACTCCCGGTCAATTTTCTACCTTAATCCAATCTTCCATCACCCGGTTTTAGTTTTCTGCTCACCTTTTCCCTTTTTTTTTAATATCTTGCCAACCTTACATGTTTACTATTTTCTTCCCCATTCTCTACGTTCATCTCGTTAGGGATTTTATCTAGAACTCCCGTTATAACTTTTGTGCCATATTTTCTTCTGATCAATAAATTATTATTATTATTATATGCCCCACTCACCTTCACATTTTCCCAATACCCGCATTTCGCCTTGTTTTTCCCATTACAAACTCTATAGAGATGCTCTTCATCCTTATAATCGACATCTTTCACGATTCTCCGATAATTGGCGCTGACTGGAAGTGGAATAGTCGCGTTTTCACCGAGCTGAATTGTTAGGTTTTCACAGGAAAGGATTACTGTACTTACCTTAACCAAAATTAAATCATCGGCAAGAGTAACTGAATGTAAATAGACAAAAAGAAATATTAGAGAAAATATGCGAATCATGATTGTGATTCGAAAAATGACCGAAGTAAAAAGTTGGGGGACCGCAAAAAAGTGCGATACAAAAAATTAATCTGGTGGGAGGAATCATGATTGTTCTGAATCGGAAAAACTGTACTTTTGTGTTCTTTGTATTACATGGTTTCATTGTTTAATTGGTTGGACATGATGTATAACGTTCAGAGAGATCAATAGATTGGAGTCTATAAGTTTTGGATTTTCAAATTTCAAACTACAAAATACCCAAAAAAAAAATGGGCATGTGGTTTTTCAGAATTTCAAAAATTCAAACATGATTAAATTTGAGAAAAAGAGAACAAGTTCAGACAAAAATTTTTTATTAAAATTAATGACAGGCCCGCCGGGCCTCCGAAATTCGGGAAAAAGCCCGGCCCGGCCCGTTACAAGTATGATGCATACCCTAGCTCCAAAAAAAATTCAAAAAAACTCCTGTCCCCCCACCTTTAAAATGTTTTTCTTAAAACCAGAAGTTTTGAATTTTCGGGAATCAGAAATCCGTTCCGCGCACTCCTGGGTTCCCCTAGCCATCAACTTTGACTACATAAATGTATCTCAATTCCTGTAAGAGTTACCAAATAGTGGTCAACTGGCACAATATTTTTGTTATTATGGTGAACAATTTGTAAGTTGACAACTTTTTGATACCTATCACAGAAAACGAGAAAAATGGGAGCAACTGTAATAGAGGATTTGTCGTCTTCTGGTTTCAAGTTTATTATTATGGAGGCATTTTTCATGAGTTTTGATGCATATTTCCAATTAAGAAGGATATTTCCAACTGAGGAAAATTTCAAAGACCCCTCCCATTGAAGGGCCCTCCGGAAGTACGTTGCAACAATAGAAGGGCAGGTAATACAGGTTTTGCTGTATCCAAATTTTCTAGTGCAGTCAGAAAACTATTAGTGAGTACGCAAAACCATAAGGAACATCACTAACAGTAACAAGTAAAAACGGAATATAAACTGGAACAAAAATAACAAATTTATACTTTCTCAAAAGGTTAAAAACGATACTTATATATGGGGGTTATCACAGATACAATTGGAAATATTCCTTTTTTGAGAACTAGGATTGATTTCCGATACTTTAAAAAAAAGAGTGGGATTCGGAAGTAGAAATTCGGGAAATTCTGAGAACTGTCTTTCCAAGATTTTTGAACTTTTGAACCTGAAAATATTTGAATGATACACCATTATAATAGAATTCCCAAAAACGTTACATTTACAAATTCTCTAACGTATCTAAATCTATCTCTCTAATCATTACACATATTGATAAGAATTGATAAAGAAAGTTGTAATCCTCAAAAAAACCCTCGATTCCCAAAAAAGGGCATACGACATGGCTGTTATCCAGTTTAGTGTATCAATTGGTTTCCTATATAAACTGTGATCCAATTCTTTCTAATTTGTATCTGTCTAATTGTAAAAATGACAGGAACAACGACTAAAATTCTATACGCATCTACCGTTTTCTCATCCGTCGCCATTCTGTGTTCTCTTGTTTTCACCACGTTCATGTACAATGATTTGTACGATTTTCACAGTGAAGTTGAACAGGAATTGTATGGTTTCAAGGTGAGAAATGAATCTGAAAATAAAAGAATATCGAAGAAATCTATTTCAACCTTTGAGAAGACCTTTAAGGTGATTTCCAGAACTTCGGAATCATACATACTAAAATTTGTAGGAAATTTCGGTTCTAAGATTTTGAAGTTTTGGGAATCTGAATATCGCATTTTCACTCGAAATTTAAATTGCCGGAATTCAATTATGTCATTTTTTTCCAGGACATTTACAACGATGCGTGGTTCTTGATGACCGCCTCCTCCTCTACCAAATTCTCATCCTCTTCCTCTTCTTCATATCCGAACCTAAACCGAATCTTCAAAAGAAACGCTGACCAATGTAACTGCGGAGAAAAGGCTTCGAATTGCCCACGTGGACCACCAGGACCACCAGGAGAGCCCGGAGATGATGGATCCGATGGACAAGCAGGACAAGATGGACGCGATGGAAATACCCCAACTGAGGAGTACGGTAGCAGCCAAGATAGCGCTGTATCGTGTCCAGCAGGGCCGCCAGGAGAACAAGGATCAGATGGAGTACCAGGAGAACCAGGAAGAGATGGAAACCCAGGAGTCGATGGTCAAACAGGAAACGAAGGACCAACCGGACCACGTGGACCACTTGGAAATAAAGGAAGAGATGGGACACCAGGAAGAGATGGAAATCCAGGAAGACCTGGTAGAGATGGAACACGTGGAGTTGGGCAGCCTGGATCACCTGGACAACCAGGAGCAAGAGGACCAGAAGGACCAAGAGGGGCACCAGGAAACAATGGAAGACCAGGGGAATATGGAGATCAGGGACAAGCTGGACCACCTGGATTGGATGGAGAACAAGGACCAGATGGGGTTGTTGGAGTGTGAGTATTTTTAGGTCATATAAAATATCGAAAAGAACATCTTCGAGCTATTTATGTGTTTAGTAGCTCATATAACATGGCGGTCGAACTTTTTTCAAGTCAAGTTTTCTAGACCACTATGATAAATAGCCTGAAAAACACATCAGGTGAACATTACGTCATTTTTAGGTCATTTTAACAGGATGGTCTAACTTTTGCAAGTGGAATTTTCTGGGCAACCAACTGTTATGGCCTAGAAAGTACTTCGAGTGAACTCAGAAAGTCAACAATTCTAGTGTTTCTTCTTGAAAATAACCGGGAAACAGTGTAATATTACCTTGAAAGTCTTGAAACTTGATACGTACATCCTGTTCCGATGGAAAAAATCGCCAACTTTGAGCCTATATATCTCGTTTCCTGTAAAAGATACCAAAAAGTGGTCAACTGTCAAAGTGTTTTACATAATATCAAAATTATTTTTTCCGTTGACACGTTTTTTATATCTTTCACAGGAACCGAGATAAATAGGCTCAAAGTTTTGGCTTAAGTTTTGAAGAGAAACAGATAATTAGAGTGTATCGTTATCTGCGTCTCTCGTCTAGTCAGAGTTGTAAGAGGATGCCTCGGCTCCCAAAAAACGCTCTATTGTTAATATTTTCAGTCCCGGAGAGCCAGGACTCCCAGGATCAGACGCCGCCTACTGTCAATGTCCAGAGCGTACTCCAATCACCGAAAAAACGTCTTCTGGAGGATACAAAGTGCGTCGACGTCTTGTCAAACATGCCAACTGACCAAGTGCTTCTTTTCTGTTTTCTCTCGCTTTCCATTTCAAAATAAATGTTCTTTGTCTCTTTTTCTTCTGCATGGGTGTCTGTGTTGATTGGGACCACATGTGTCCGGAATAATGGAATCGGGAGAAAGAGAAAGTTTTGAGAAAAAGAGTTTAATTAGATTATAGTTGAAGAATAAATTTTTGCTTGGTGGTCCACATTTTTTTCAATTGTTGGAAATTTTTAAATCCTAAAATTCTCTTATTGGAACCAGCCAGCTAGCTGGTGCGCCTTTGGCGCGATTTAACCTGTTTAATATACTGTTCGACTTCTTTTCGTCGAAAGCTCACGCACGCTGTTTCAAAGAACATGGTCGGAAAACGTGAGAAATCAATGCGCAACGTGTCGAATTTCGTTGACTGAAGATCAAACTTTTAAACGTTGAGCAAAAAATCGCAAGTTTCAACGTGCTGATTAAAAATATTTAGGTCAAATCGACGTCAACTTTTAAATTATTGAATTTCGTCTGACCTAAAAGTTTACTGGGGCGCGATTTTCGACCAGGTTCTTTGAAACACCGTGCTCACGTCAAGTTATGTTCAATATTCATGTTTTTGGTTTTCTGATAAATTCTATCCAAGATTCCACAAACTGTCGGAATACGTTTCCCAAACTGTTTAAAACTATCGAACAACAAAGGACACCACCCGAAGGACCGACACAAAAACTGGAAGAACAAAGACTACGACTACGAACCAGAAATGCACGGACGCAGACATTTCGGACAACGGATACCGGACAGAAAAAAAAATGTTTTTCGACTGCCAACAGACACGGATAACGGGCCGGCAAAAAATGACCGGACAACGGACAACGGATAACGGACTACCAACGACCCGACGACATCACGGAGAATCATAGCCGAAGGATGAGAAGCGCGCAAAAAGAAGCTAAGAAAGAAATCACAAAAATAAAGTTCACAGAGTTCTGACATCACGACGGCTACTTGATATTTCCTCTCCAGTGACATTCGAATCCTGAAATGAAACATATTTATGACAATTTTTTACATTTTCGCTAACATAGTAATTTTTTTTAATATAATAATGTTTGGAAATTTACAGGAATTTTTTTTCAAAAACTAGCGGTTGTATCTAGCGGTTGTTTCATTTTTGAAAACTACCATTTCACCATATTTTTATTTAATTTTTTATTTCATCGTGAAAAGATGACACGGGAAAGTGAAAAAAGTCTAAATCGAGAAAGCTTCGAAACTAGTGATTTTTTTCACTTTTGAAAATTCTAATTTCCCCCATTAACTGTAATTTTTGTAAAATCCAATTTACTCACTTTTCATTTTGTTCCGCTACTTCTGTCATCCTTATGTGAATCCTGCCAATCCTGATAATGTCCTCAAAGTCCTTATCTAATCGTATCTACACACCAGGGGACACTTTTTACGCTGAGCTTTTTTAGGAAATTGTTTCACACAGTTTTTTTTCCGTATTAGAAGGACCCCTCTGTGAAAAATGACCAATCTTCAAAACGTGTTTTGAAATCAAAAATTTCGTAATTTTTCAATGGAAAATATTCCAGGAACTCCACAAGTCAATAGAAATTTGTTGAAATTCTATTTTTCGATGCAAATCTTGCTAAATTTTGGTGAAATTGGCAAATTTTCATGAATTTTGAACAAAACTTCGTTGAACTTTTTGATTCAGAATTTCGAAAAAAAACTAGCCAGAAAAATAGAAGGGCCCCTCTAATAGAAAGGCCCCTGTAATGGAAGGGCCCTCTGGAGGTACCTTGGAACAATAGAAGGGCCGGTTCTTCTAGTACATGTTTTACGGAAAAAAAGTAGGAAAAAAAAAATTAGAAGTCACTTCAGCTGTTAAAAAGTATGCTTAGAGCTTGAAAAGACATTTACAAAATGTGGAAAAAATCCCTAGAAAAAATCCCTTTTCTGATAATACTTGAAGCTTGTTTTCTAAGTTTTCGAATCCAAATTTTATAAAAACATTTTTGAATGTTCATAGAACATGTGTCTCTCAACCGATTCCGGAATATTTTTACAAATTTCCTGTGAAATACCTATTCAGAAAAAAACAATTTCCCCTTCTTTTTTTCTGAACATTTGGTAATGTTTTTCCAGTTTCGGAAACTCCAAAAACTACCCCAAGAATCACATGAATTTACAATCAGAAATTCCGAAAAAAAAGAAAAAGTTAATTTTCAATTTAAAAAACGTGAAGTATATAATAACCATCGAAACTTCATTTAACGTGCTCCCGATTAGCCTAATGGTTGACAGGGATGAATTTGAAACAACCGTCGTTGGTTCGAGTTCTCCCCAGAGCCTAGTGGTTTTTGTCAGAGTACAGTAATCGGGGTTAATCGTGAACAAAATACGGGAAATGCCCCATGGTGTGGGGATACGATCGCGTAAAGTCCTTGATAGTGGGGAATTCCGGAAACCAACCATTTTCTGCACACCTGAAGTTTAAAAACGATTTTTCTATTATTTTTCCGAATTCTAGACTTCCCCGAAAATCAGATTTCCAATCCGGGAAAATTTAAAAAGTCAAAAAATTTGCATTTCCTCACCTTTACTTTTGTCCCGCTGCATATGTGATCCTGATTCGAATCGTGGCAATCTGTCCTCTGAAAACTGTCATCCTAGTTGTTGAAGATTGCCCCAGATTCCAAGCATCCCCTAAAACTTGAAAGTTTTGAAACTTTATCAATTCCTATTTTCTCACCTTCCATTTCTTTTTCTGTCGTCTTGAATCCAATAATGCCAATCTTGAAGTCTGCCTTGGAAGCCATCCTCGAAGTCCTGGGAGTTGTGGGAGGAGGGACGATCCTGCAAGATCCTGCAACTTGACCGTTGGAAACTAATACTGATTTTTCCTTCAATTATATAAATCCTTGAAATTGCTCTAATTTCGTTATGGTTTTACGGGGGTCACGCCGAAGTGGCTTTTGAAAAAAAGGAGTTCACGCGAAAAATGACACTCGGCTCACTGTGACAAGATTAATCGGGTTATATAGAAGTTCTGAAATTCTGAAAATCTGATTCCTTGGAAATTTGAGGGCAAATTGTTCATCTTTTTGTCTCTGATTCCTCGATTCTCTTATCAAGTTCCAAGGCGGAAATAAGGACACAAAATGAGGAAACGAGATTTCGCTTTAGCTTTTTCTTGTGTTTTGTGGCCTAGCTTTCATTTTATAGTTTTCAATTTTCAGTTTTCTAGGCCATCTTTCTTTTGGTTTTCTGGAAAATATTCTTTAGAAAATTTCAAAAAGTTGGTTTCTTCATGTCAACAACCGATTACTTTTCTAATCTATCTTCGAAATCAAAACTTTACACTTTCCTATTCGAGAATTTTTTGAAGGAAATTTCTTCCCTTTTCTTCAAAAAATGTTGTGTTCCTTTCTGAATTCAGAAGAACTACAATGGAAAAATCAAGATAACGAATACTGTATTGCTTCATTTCCTACTTTCTCTTTTCACTTTCCCATATCTATTTTCCGATTCGAAAAAAGAAACAGAAGGCGTCAATTGTCCTTCTTCTTCTTTTCCATATCCCACCTTTTTTGTATCATAATACACATTTGTTGTTGGACAATTAATTTTATAGATTATGGATTCTGAATTGATCCAATCCATTCTGAATCTTCTCTTATTATACGCGGATTTTCCGTGTTTCTTCTTATATTCGAATTTCAGAATTTCAGATTTTTCAAACTTCAAGTTTTTCGAGTTTCTGAAATCTCAAGTTTTGAATTTCTAAATTTCTAAATTTCCGAATTTCTGAATTTCTTAATTTCCGAAGTTCCGAATTTCTGAACTTCTGAATTACTGAATTCCTGAATTTTTGAATTTCGGAACTTCTGAATTTGATTTTCAGAGTTTCCGAGTTTCAGAATTTTGGAAAAATTTCATATTGATCGATTTCTGAAAATTTTGGAATTACTGGAATTTTGGTATTTTGGAACTTTCAATTTTTTCCGTTTCTCTCAGTATTTTTTTTCGCACACATTCTTCATTCCATATTAGTTTTTTTCATAATTGAATTCACCAAAAAAAATTTCGGAATTCAGAATTCAGAATGCGAGGTTTTATTTTCCAAATCGTGTGTATGTGTGTTTCAGAAATTGAATTCGATTCTAATCGAATTTTCATAGATGCAAAAAAAGCATTAGGAACATTGGTTTTCTGGATTTTTTATATTTTTTTAATAGCTCTGTAAAAACGGTAAAGCAGCGTTCTTCCAGTATAAGCTTTTATTGACTAAGAAACCAAGAAAACACTACAGTAGATAACTAAAATGAATAGAAGAAGATATAACTGATAGTCAAGCTCCCCTTTTATAGGAGTTAATTAGAATTGCAAATTATATAACTTTTCCACACGCCGCAATCTTCGGTTTCTTCGCACTCGCGACAAGCTCAAAATGTTAAATCTTAATTTTTTCAACTGCTTCCTTTTTTGGGTTCTTTGAATTGCTATGTAATTGCATTGTGGATTCTTTCCCAGTTTTTTCTTTAATAATAACATTTGAATTCTGAAATCTCTTCTTTTTCTATTTTTCGTGAGATTCAACATTTTTACACCTACCACCGGATCCCATAAAACTCAACGTTTGGTTCCATTGAATGAGCCAACAAATGGACACTATTAATGTATTTTTCTTTTTCTTTCCGTTTTGTGTGTATTTCAAATGATTTTTGCAAAATCTTCGGATTGTAAAAAAGGTTAGAATACTATATTTCCTCTAATAGAAACCCTCTCAAACTGTTAACTTTGAACTCAATCATCTAGATTCGTGTGAAAGATATCAAAAATCTGCAAATGATGAAATATTGGGGATATTATGATGAGTAGTTTATTAGTTTACGAATTTTTGATATCTTGCAAAAGAACCGAGATAATTGAGCTCAAAGTTGACTATTTGGGTGCGCTTCTGTTAGAGGGAATACGGTAGTTGTTCTTTCTAGTTTGTACTCTGGCTTCAAAAAAAAAAAAGATTCCTAACTAAAAGAAATGTGAAAAAAGCAATAACATGACCTTTTGTGCTGATGAATTTTATATTTTCGCTATATTTTCATCGATTCAAAATGGTAAAGTTTGGACCTTATTTTTTGTGTCCTGTTTTTCCAAATCTGTTATTTATTTTTTCGTTATAAACTAAAACTGCTCCTACCGCGAAAAAATTTATTCAGATTCCCTAACTCCAAAACAACAACAAAAGCGAGACAAAAATTGGTGAAAAACAACAAAATTGGTACCGATTTTTTTAGTCAACATTGGTAGAAATAATTGACTGAAATTTATTGAAAATTTCAAATTTCAGCCAATAAATGAAGCTATGTTTTGCTTGAACTTTTTCATTCTTTTTTCTATGTCCTTTACTTTTGTGTTTGAGTCTTACCTTTCTAAATACTCTGCATTCCAGATCTGAACAACCGTAAGACATTTAATAGAAGGGCCACCATACTGTCAAGTTCAAGCTCAATTATCTCAATCCGTATAAGATATTAATAACGTGTCAGCTGATAAAACACTTCTGATAATATAAGAAGGAGCGATTTTCAAAATTTTCAATTTTCATCCCAAATCACTTCGATTTCCAAAATTTCTGTGAAGTTTCAGTAAAATCACGTGAATTTCCAAAATCCCAGAACTCGAACCGTTCGAGTTCTGTGAAAAATCCCAGAAATTGCAACGTTCAATTTCTGTCAATCACGTAAAATTTCCAAATTCACAGAAATTTTGGAAATCGAAGTGATTTGGGATGAAAATTGAAAATTTTGAAAATCGCTCCTTCTTATATGATAAACATTTTATCAGTTGACAGCTTCTTATATCTTTGACAGAGGATTGTAAAAGGTAAGGGGCCCTTTTACTACAGGTTTTACGGAATTTTAGAATTCTCTGAAATTCTAGACTCCGCTTTGCAGTCATTTTTTTTGCTACAAGCTTGCCAAATAACATGACAAATTATCAGGAAACCAGAAAAAAGTTGAAAATCTTATCAATCATTCAATTTCTCACCCACCTTTCCTTTCTCTTTTGACCGCCCTGACAGAAAGAAATTCGTAGAAGCAAAAAGAAGAAATTCAATACTTTGACAGCTGACTCAAAACATTATGATTTCGATATATCAGGTTATCCCGAAGAAGAGCTTATCACAAAATTAGTACTTTGGAAATCAAGAAAATCGGAACTTCTAACTTCTATTTTTTTCAGAATTTTCATATTTCTGTTCATTTTTTTCATTTGTTTTCTTTTTTACTAGTTTCCTCAATATTTTAAATTCCAAATACCGCAATTTCTCTAGCTCAATTATCTCGATTCCTGTGAAGGATAGCACTAATTTGTCAACTGATAAAATTCTGATAATGTTATGATGAATGATTCCTTAGTTGACAAATTTTTGCTATCTTTTGTAGAAAATGAGATGTATGAACTCAAATTTGTCGGTTTTGTTGGGCTTCTTTTCGAATGCTTACGGTATGAACTTCTATATAGAAAGATCATATGAAACACCATAGGAACTATAATATGTTCCAAAAAAAATAGAAGAAACAAGTATTATATTGTCATGTATTCCCAAAAAACGAACAGTATGGTGTTACCAATTCAACCGTAACTTTTTATTGGATCAGAGAATCGAATGGACACTTGACTTTTTAGAGAAAAGAAGAACTTGTTTCTCTTATTTTTAATGTATATGTAGTTTGGGGGTACATATAGTAGCAAGAAACGCTTTGGATCTGGAAATGCGGAGTATGCGAATCCCGCAAAATCCAATTTTTTCTTTTCCTATTTTTAAAATTTAAAAACTTAAAAAATAACTATTAGGTTGACAACTAACTTCTTGTGCACTTTTGTTTTTCATCTCTTTTCTTGACTGAGCTAGAACAATAACATGCGTGTAACAGTAGCTAATCTTTAAGATGATAAGGTTGCTTACCCATTATTCGCCCTGCTCCCATTCCGCTTGCGGACGCGGTGCTCCTTTTTATACCCGATGCTCACCTCATTCGTAATTCTATATTATTTCTAATTATTTCTAAAATACTTCTGATATCAGGATAAACAATTTATTAGTTTCCAATTATTTCTAAAATACTTCTGATATCAGGATGAACAATTTATCAGTTTTTTTTGTTGGTATTCTAAGTATCTAGGTTTGAGGGTTATTGCAATCCTAGGAATCTACGATTCTTGGATTTTTTGTCGTTTTTAAAATTATAAACTAGATTTTTTTACAAAGAACTTAAGTTTGCTGGAAATTGAATTCTGAACTCCTAAAATTTGGGATTTCTCGTAAGCGCCTTTCCATCAACAGTTTTTATTTTTCCTAGTTTTCTCCACTTCTCTCTTTATAAACATTTTTGGGTGGGACACCCCCAATTTGTTTATATATTCCCACCACCAGAAGTCTACTCGACCTCTTCTTTATATGACCGAGGTCATATTATTTTTTTTTCCTTTTTTGAGTGCTCATCTCCAATTTTTTTTTGATTTTTTTCCGTTTCTTCCTCTTAATTCTTACATTTTTCTTGGTATTTTTTCTCAAAACAATGTTCAAATATTTTTTTTTAATTCCAGATGGTTCGATTGAAAGGAAACCTTGCGAGTTTGTTAACCTACTGCACTCTACTCATTTTTCTGTATTTATTCGTCATAAAACCATTGATCCCCAAAATACTTATCACAACGAGAGATTCGACATCCTCAAATAAGCCTGTACCGGTAACGCCTTCAGAAGTAGAAGGAATACCGGATATGTTGGATGACCTGATAATTGATTGTGAGGTGAGGAACTGATAATAGAAGATTGCTTGACAGTTTTTACCAGATCAGAAAAAAATTCCAGTCAAAAAACAACTCAAAGTGTTTTTGAAAATTCAAAGTATAGGCTTTGGCTGATACGACATGTTTCCTTCCGCTGAAAAGTTGAAAGTACGATAACTTTTCTCATTTTTGATCGTATCCAGGAAGTACATATATTTTTGAATATGAATTGTTTAGAGCTTCACCGCGAATTTTTTCTTCAAATTGAAACGACCGTAATTTTATTATTAACAAACGAATCTTGAAAATTTTTGCTTTATTGAATTCAGTTTGGGACGTGCTTCGAAATGAGTATAAACACGACTAGCCTCCGCCCATTTTGATTTTGGGTCCCAAAAAGGGGCGTGTCCTAGTTTTCACCAAACAAGTTTATATTCATTTTGAAGCTCTTGCAGCGAAAAATTGAAAATATTGATCTTTTTTCCGTTTAATGTGAGAGAAATCGAAAAATTGGCAACTGACAAAACGTTCACTATGATTCCGAAAATATTTTTTTAGTTGCACATTTTTCGATATCTTTCACAGGAACCAAGATGAATACGGTCGAAGTTGATGCAGCATTTCTGAAAATTTTCAATGAAATCAGAGACCCTAGAATTTCAATATTTAAAAAATACTTTTTTTTCAGTCTGTGAAAAAAGGGAATCAGCCAAGAACAGCATCAGTACCAATAAATATCAGAAATGTGGAAGATCGATTACTATATGCCAAGGATAGGTAAGTTATCAGATTTTCGGATTCTGAAAACTCAATATTCCGAAGATTCCAAAGTTCTGAATTTTCAGATGTGAATCTCTAAAAGAGCTATACCGATTCAACAATAAACCATTGTCCCTAGAAGAGGCAAATTATACCTTGGCATATGGAATGCTAGTCTACAAGGATTTACCACAGGTGAGCAAATTAACCGAGAAAAATCAATAATGACCTATAAAAAACTTCAGGTGCTCTTCATGCTCTCCTCAGTTTATCATCCCCAAAACGAGTACTGTATCGCAGTTGGTGAAAATTCAGAACCACTTTTTCAAAATCTCTTGAAAGAACTGTCCCCATGTTTTCCAAATGTGCATTTTATGGTGAGTGTGGGCATCTGCACATCCGGACGAACACAATAAAAAATATGTTTCTAGAAACGTCCACCAATCAGTTGGGGAAGCCACGAGATCATAAATTCGGCGTACGAATGTCTTCAATTTTTGAGCCATTTGAAAAGTGATTGGAAATATTTCCAATATTTATCTGGATTCGATGCTCCTTTAAAAACGAATCTGGAGATGGTCCGGATTCTGAAACAGCTGAATGGAACGGCAAATGTGGAGATCGCAAAGTATCAATGGCAGAGGTTGAGAGGGAAAAATGTGAGTTTTGCATTTTTTGGAATCATTTTCTAGGCCACGGTAGTTAAAATATGACCTTGTTATGTTTTCTGAGCCGTTTACTATAGTGGCCTAACTTTTGCAAATTCACTTTTCGTTTTCTGGGACATTTGAAGATAATGGCCTGACTTTTTTTTATTTTAGTTTTCTAGGTCACCATGGCAAATTACCCAGAAATGGCGTGATATTCCGCTGGTAAGATTTCAAGGCCACATACTATGGTGGCTTAACTATTGGAAGTTAGGAGTTGTCAGTAACTTTTATATTTTTAACGAAATTTCGAATACTACATATTTTCAGGAAACCCAATCCCCACTTCCTCTTTTCAAATCCAGCCTATCTGCACTAATTCCAAGGGATGCAGCTAATGAATTGGTGAGTGTCTGGGTCCCACCCACTTTATAAAAAATTACCTTATTCCAGACGTCTTCTCTAATTCCTCGTGAGCAGCTAGAGTTCCTGAAAAACACTGGAATTGCGGACGAAGGATTCGGGGAACGATGTTAGGAAATAAGGACAAATTCAATGTTCCTGGGTCGATTAATGCTCAAGAATGGATCGATTATCGAGGAAATCACACGGAATTAAAACGAACAGAGACTGGATGGCGATATTATATATCGAGGGATCAAATTTGGGGTCGTAGTGAATGCCGGAATTATATGAAGTCGGGATCTTGTGTTTTTGGAATCGGAGATGTACTTAGATTATTGAAATCCAAAGCGCTTGTGGCTCATAAATTCTATCTTAACTCACAGCCAGATGCATACTTTTGTTTATTAAAAGTGAGTTGGTTTCTGAAATTCTGAAATTTTGGAGTTCAAAATATTTTGAAATTTGGCATCTCAAAACTCAGGATTTTAGGTTTTCCAAAAAAAGTGTTTTCTAAATCCCGTTTTTCCAGGAAATCCGACACCGTACCACCCATCCGGATCCCAATTTCGACGCATCTGATTATTCAAAACTTCCCCAAGTGGAGCTTTCTCGTGGTCTCAATTTCTCTCAATTGACATATCCCGATTGGATTGTATGATACATATATTTTCTCTCTTCTTTTTTAGGATTCATCGGGTTCATACGGTCTTTTTGATCTTCTATTTTTACCATTATAATGTTTTTTCCTTTTATCTTTTTTTCTCAGGGCTATTTTCTTGTATTAGAAGTGTCTCTACTCCCTTGTGAGATATATCTTCGAATGGAAATGAAAACGTGTGACTTTTTTGGGTGTTCTTCAGACAAATCCTACAAATCAACGAGATCGTTCAAAGACTAATATCGTCATTTTATAAGATAGATAGGATATTTCGGGAGAAATCGAGAGAAAGTTCAAAGATAAAGGCATTTCTATTTTACAAATAGATACGGTTTCTGCAGATTTTGACAGGAACGATTTCTAGTGGGAGACGCAGACAACGATACACTCTAACTGTCTGCGCCTCTCCAAAACTTAAGCGTCCACTTTGAGCTCATATATTTCATTTCTTGTTAAAGATATCCACAAGAGGTCAACTAACAAAATGTTTATCATAATATCAGCAATATTTTATCAGTTTTCGCTTTTTGATATCTTTCACAGGAGTCGAGATTATTTGGCTCAAAGTTGTTAATTATGTGAGTAGTTCTATTAGATGTAGTAAACTTTGACGTGCTACAAAATTTTGCCTGAACTTTTCAACTTGATTGAAAATTTTTGAGTGTATTGAACAAGATTAGAGCTTTATTTTTGTAATTAACAACTTTCTTGCCAAACTTCATTCTCATGAGATATGCCGTTTGAAACTAAAATAGTGTCGAAAACGCCAAATTAGCACTTCAAAACAGCTTATCTTATTTGTATAGATTTTACTAGAAAAATTTCGAATTTAAAATGAAGCTCTACTTTTGTTTAGTATATTCAGAAATTTCCAAAAAAATCGAAAAATTCTGGACCTTTTTTCCAGAGGACATTTTTTCAAGGTACTAAGCTGACCCAAACCGTCAACTTTGAGCCCATATATGATATATCTCATTTTTGTAAAAGATATTTTTAATGGTGAGATAGCAAAATGTACATCATACTTCCGAAAACCTTTTGTCAGTTATCCACTTTTTGATACCTTTTACAGAAAATGAGATAAATTGGCTTAAATTTGTTAAGGAAATCTGAGACAATATCAAATTCCAGCATTCTCATACATCCTCTTTAAACATCTTGTTAACACATTTCAGCAATTCTTAGAAACAACATCTTCAAACACCAGAGATCTCCACGACCTTGTCTAATCTGTTAATTTTCAAAACACTAAATGTTCTTCTCATTTTTTTCCTGAACAAGACAGACCATATATGAATTCTCAAGAGAAACCAATCAACACTTATCGAACTGTTTTTTGAATTGATTTTTGTTCGTTTTGACGATCATCATTAATTTAAAATGATCAGTTTTGAAAGACACCAACGACACAAATAAAAATAAAAAAGCTTCTTTCGTTGCGGGGAATCGAACCCCGGACTTATGGGTGAGAGCCATAAATCCTAACCACTAGACCACAACGGATCTGATTCTGAATGTGACAGGAGGACGTACACATCCGTGATAGGAGGAATTTCCGTTTCCGGTTCCGTTTCCGTAAAAGTAAAATTATATTTCCGTTTCCGTTTTCCGGAAAAACCGCCATTTTTTTACAGCGGAAACGGAAAAAAAAATTAAAAAACAACGAAAACATTAAACTGAAACTGGCTTGAAAAAATGCATGGAAAGTCATGCAAATACGGTCTTCAAACGTTAAAAACTGTATATTTTTACGTTTGAAGGGAAAAAAATCCTGAAAAATAGACGAAAATAAAAAATTTCCGTTCCCGTTTTTGTTATCCGTTTTCCGTCCGATTTTTGAAGATTTTTTTCTGTTTCCCTTTCCGTTTCCGTAAAAGTGAAATTTCTTTTCCGTTTCCGTTTTTCGCGGAAAAAAATTTCCGTTTCCGTTTTCCGTATTTTGGAAAAATACGGGTTGGGAGAAGAGGGTGGAAAAAAAAAGAGATTGCGAAAACTGATAGCACATTAGTGCAAGTCACCTGGAGACTCGAGATAAATTTGATCGTAAAGTTTACAATCAAGAAGCGTCAGAAGTTTTAAGAATGATATTATTTGTTATTCACAGCACCACACTCCACCACACATTCGTTGAATAAAAAAAAAGCAAATGCATGTGGAAACATCGTGTTCCTAATCCGAGAAGAAACAGTAGGTGAGACATATGACTTTACCGAAATATAGTATCAAAATGCAAAGAAGTGAGAAGGATTATATTTATTTACCAAACTGTAGTATAGAAATTTCAATTTCCTGGACAAGTTGACTTTTTACTATGTCCTCGCAGTAGTCGAATTGAAATTCAATGAACCTGTTGTTGAATTTTTATTAAAAATTTTGTAATACAGATGTTTCCAAAGAACAGATTCCGGAAAATTGAAAAATTGAGACTTCAAGCTTCGCCACGCGAAGCAGAAAGCCCGCACTATTGTGTATAGAAACATATCTCATTCTTTCAGTGGCTCGTCTAGATGAGCGGCTATGAGTTTTGCCTTGCAATCTCATAACGCAGGTTCGATTCCACCAAGAGTAGTTTTCCTTTATTTTCTTTTTTTCTTTTTTGCGAAGGTCAACAAATGATTTTTTTTGCATAACTATAGTAACATTATGTTACTATCATATATTTTTGCATAGACAGTGTCTGAAAAATAATGAGACAATAATAAAATACCCCCGGCCATATCTTTCTCGTACTTACTTACATGTGTTTTGTCTCTTTCAAAAGATTGCATCTCTCTCGGTCTCTCTTCCCTCTCTCAACCATCTGATAGAAATTCACCTCCAAAGACAACGCAGAAGACGTCGAGGCAGAATCGAGGCATGTCGGCGACAGATCCAACCTGTTCTCTGCGTCTCTCGCGGGGGAGTGCTGTCTCGGCGCCCTCCCACTTTTCGCAGTATAAATTAAGAGAGCGCTGTGAATTCTGTATTCTGGTAGAGACCACAATTCTCCACTGAAATCAAATTTCAACAAACTGAAATCTTCTGCCTAGAAGTATTCTAAAATCGAACCAGAAGATGCTTCTCTCCGGCTCAATGGTCCGCGCTCTCATCGCCACCGCCTATATTCTGACCATCTCAACGTCTTCGGCTTTTACATTCTTTTTCTATTCCGAACCGGTGCTCTTTGCTTTCGTGATCACCGCTGTCTCCCTGTTGGTACTATCGTATCCCATACTGTGCATCATCACAGTATCCCATTCCTACGACCTACAAGTCAAAGGATGCTGTCAACTCGAATGGATTCCAATGGCAACGGATCTAATCGAAACGTCTGTAAAATCACTGGAAGAGAAACCATCGAAACTCGATGAAGCGTTTGCATACGCCTATATGTAACAGTTATCCTTTCAATCCTTAATTTTTGTGTTTGTACATTTCGATCCCTCTCTGTTGTCATAGCTTTAAACTTCAAGTTCATTGTTTTCCTTGCTTTAAAAAAAGTATCTATCTAAGAAAAAGAATAAAAAGTTTGCTTCTTGAGTAATTGATAAAAAGAGAAGATAAAGAACAGGTTTCGACGAACACGAAAAAGAAGAAAGTAGATCAAAAAGGTATGACTGGTAAGAAAGTAACGAAACATACTTCCTCGTCGTCGCAATGCGAACAGATGTCTCCCTTACAATTTTTCACATCTTCTTTTGCATCGAATAGTTCAGAATGCGGCACGTGGTGTATTGACTAAGGCTTTCAGAGTTAGCTCTGGCTAATCATAATGGATCTGAAAAAAAGGAGGTCCCAAAACGACAACTACCGTAACCTACTCGGCTGTCGGCTTGCAACTTCTGGCCGGAAATTGAGGGGGTTCGGCTTTTGGTCAGAAGCTGCCCACCGCAGCAGTGGGACGGACAATGATCGGATTTTGGCCGGAATTCGAAGGCGCTGCGTGTTATGCGGCGCGTGCTTCACTCATTTTAAATTTGTTTTCTAAACTATTTTTCTTGCCGTTTCCCTAAAAACTTTGTTTTAAAGTTGCATCCTTTCAATTTTTTGGAGCATTTTTTCAGGCAAGTACTTCGGAGACAATAACAGACGATGTTCTCGAAAAAAAGAGTACGAAACTTATCAGGTAATTTATTCTTTGAATTTTTGTCATAATTTAAATTTTTCAGATAAATAAAATTCAAGTCAGCATTTTTAATGTCAAGTGCTTGGGAGATATCGCAACTAGAAGTTATTTTTTGTTGAAAAAAACTGTATTTTTGGAAATATTGTTTCCACGAATCAAAAAAATAACTGGATGCTAGAAAATTCGAAGAAAAAATTAAAAATCTAAATCATGATTTTCTTATTTTTCTGTATTTTTTCCCCTAATTTTGTTCATTTTCATGTATAATTCTTTTTTTAATAAATAAAATTCTACATAATGCGCTGTTTCTCTATAAAAACATCAATAAACGCGAACCGAACCGGCCCCTGCTGTTAGGAGGTCGGAAGTTGGCCGGTAGTTTGTCGGATCTTGGTCGGCTTCCCACAATGTCTTTGCCGGAATCTGACCAAGTTCCGTCCTGAAGCCGACCAGCCTCCGGCCAGAAGTTGCCGGCGACGCCCGAGTAAAAGTATATTCATTTTCAATATCATCAGCACTTTCAAAAATCTGTGAACTGTCAAAATGAAAATGATATTATGACAAACATTTTATCAGTTGACAGGTTTTTGATAGATCCTATAGGGATCGATATAATCAAGCTCGTAGAGAATTTACTCTTAATCGGGTTTTTCATGCGCTGGAACACCATAAATGCTCCCAATTTCAAAAAAAAATAAAAAGGAACAAGGAAGCATTTTGCTTCCTTCTAAAAGTCATCAAACACGAGATGGTCTTCTGAACGTTCTTTGGCAAATCACTTCCTAGTTTTCTCTCACTGATAAGGGATCAACCTCCAGAGGGATCAACTAGATTTTCTTATCAGGATCTAAAAAACAGGCAGGACTATATCGTTTCTAGTACTAGAAACGAGTAACAACACAGGGGGTCATTTAATTTCAAACAAGGGCAGAATTTTGCTTTCACAAACATATCATAATCCGCGGTATGTTTTTACATACATTTTTTCTTTTGTCACATGACAGTCTCGAGGAGTATATATTCGAGGGAGGACAAAACACAGTTTACGTTTCGAATGGGGAAGTATGATGCTGGAAATTATCTTGAGATCTTTAGGTTACGGTAGTTTTATTGTAAATTTTCCAATCACATCCAATTTCTTGAGTCTCCAAGTGGTTTGCTGCTAATGTGCTATCAATTTTCGCTCTTTTCTCCTCCTGACACATTGTAAAGCCGATCCGTTGTGGTCTGTCTAGTGGTTAGTTTTATGGTTCTCACCCATAAGGCCGGGGTTCGATTACCCGCAGCGCAAGATGCTTTTTGTAAAATAGAACGCATTTTGAGCTAACTTATCTCGATTTTGGTATGATATATCAAAAAGATGTAAACGTAAATTGATTTTCACCAACATTCCATCAGTTTACCAGTTTTCGATATTTTTCACTGAAATGGAGATAATCGAGCTCAAAGTGCAGTGGCGGCCAACGACGACGACCACGTGCTTGATTATCTCAGTTCCTATAAGAGATTTCAAAAATTGGTAGATAAAAAAATGTTGGTGATACCACGGCATACATTTTATCAGTCGACCTGATATTGGTATCTCGTATAGGAACCGAGATAATTAAGCTTCAAAGACATCGATAATCTGAAAAAGGAGTTTTAGGGCACCATGGAATGCCACGGCTGTGACTTCGCGAAACCCCAAGACTACAGAGTTTGTTGTACATTGTACCAAGATGTAAGAAAAAACAGAAAAAAACACATTTTAGAAAAGTAATTCACCCTTTTCAGGGAAAAATGACTTGCGTCGACTGCGAAATTTCTTGGTTCTCTAAAACGAGCTTTTCATATTTTGAACGACCTTTTTATATTTTGAACACTAATAAAAATGAATTAATTAATCTCCATCGCAATTATAATCAACATGAACGAAGCATCGCTCCACGAAATCCAATTTTTGGATATTCTTCTCCAGATCGTGAGATATGTCATGAGTTATCTATAATAGCTCAACTTTTAGAGATTTAAAAAATTTGTCCTACTTTCAACGGTAATTTTTCATCAAGAACTATGTGAAGCTCGACTTGAGCGTTCAGTCCTGTATAGTAGATCATTGAATGGTCGATATATCTGAAATAGTTAGACAGTGTGGTAGAATGAGAGAGCGCAGGGAAGTGGTTTCTGGTTGCGCGGAGGCAACTTTTAAAAAAATCACTTTCAGCTCAATTATCTCGATGTCTGTAAGCGATATCAAAAATCTGTCAACTAATAAAGTGTTTTTGATATTACGAAAAAAAAATGTTATCAGTTGACAAAATTTTGATATCCCATATAGGAAACGAGATAATTGAGTTCAAAGAGAAAGTACAGTAATGGCGCCGACCCCGCCACCATTCGTGGCTCATCCTTTGAGCTCAATTGTTTCCGTTCCTATGAGAAGTGTCAAAATCCTGTCAACTAAAAAATGTTGGTAACATTTAATGAGTTGACAACTTTTTGATATCTCTTATTGGAATTGAGATAATTAAGCTCAACAGTGAAAGTACTCACTTTATCCTCTCATCATGCTTCAGTGTGATATTCAGAATTCTCGCCATTTGATCCCTTTCTGCAGAAATTCCAACCAACTGTGGAATATTATCCACAGCATGTCGGCACCACGAATAAGCAATCCATGTGCATACACAAATAGCTCCAATCGGGTCAGCGAACTTCCATACATAGTCTCCCAAGTATCCACATACTAGCGCTAAACTTCTTGTGATTAAGTCATTGCGAAGATCCATTGCAATCACTAGACTTGATGTTGATCCTCTTTTATAACACATCCACATAATTATCGCCTTCAGAACAGTTTGTACTGCGATAATTGCAAACGTGGCGTTTGTCATTTTGGGATCCACCGTATCATTTACAATTGAGTTTATAGATTGCATTATCATTGAGACATTCGCAAAAGCCATGATCACAGAACACAAAATCACTCCGATCAGTTCAAGACGATCTCTACCACGTGGATATTTCAAGGCGTCCGTTTTACTGATAGCAGATAGACAGATATTCATAACAAAACTGCACGCAATGTCCATGGAAGAATCAACGAATGTACTGAAAAAGGAGTACTGTAGTTTGTTGCTAATTGATTTTGACAATCAATTGCTGGCCCAATTTTTAAAACTTTTTTCTAGGCCATACATTGTTCAGAAATTTACAAAAAAAATTCACAATGGCTCCCAAAACGGAATCACTCTCGTTTTCAACATTCTCCACATCACACACTTGGTTTTCAACAACCTGAAAAAAACGATCACTTCTCACTTTTTTTGAAAATACCGGAATTTGGAAATTACATTTTAAATTCGCATCCTTGAAATAAAACTATTATGTTTTTTTGTGGAAAATTGAAGCTAGCAACTTTGAAGTTACCAACTTGAACTACAAGCTTTTCGTTCAGCGGAGCGCGGTTTTCGAAAATTCTAGCATTATTCCCCGTAAGGTCCGAGGAAAAAAAATTGGGGAAAAGTGGGCGGAGCCTAAACTGTAAGCTGGCCACGGTTTGGCGGCACAGTTTTCAACAACCACCGGGAAATATTTTTGCCTGAAAGTTATTTCCTCGGAAATTGAGGAGCCTGTTTTAAATATACATTTTTCAACAGAAAAAATTTTGGCACCGGGCAGCTGAACAAAATTGCAATTCGAGTTTTTAGCTTTGCAAAGCAGCGAAAGAGCCCCCCCCTGACTTGAAAAAAATAGGTTTCTTTTTTATTTTGAGGTCAGAAACTAGAGCGAAGTTGAGACCTTCCAAAGTTCAACAAACCATACTGCACTTTTGAGTAATTTTCGTGCAAAACCTGACCTAAACCTTCATTCTTAACCTTTTCAATTACGTCAAGCTCTCTCCATTATCAGTTTGCGACGTTCTTCTCAAGAGAGCACATGACCGTATTGATATTTTGTTCACAGACAAAAAAAACTGACCTCATGATTGAAAGTGATCCAGAAATAATCGAAGCGGCAAGATTTCCAATCAGACTTCCGATGTTTAATGCAAAAGTCGCTTGAGCCAAAACTCGGTCTTCGTATCGCTCATCCTCTTCCTATAAAACTACTGCCCTAGGAATCCATGACCTAGAATCTCCAACATACCTCCGCTTTCTTAATTGGCTTTTGAATCGTCTCCTGATCCTGTTCAAACTTCTGGAGCAGCTCGTTCTGTTGATCATAAAACTCATTCATCTTTTTCTGAGCTTCTGGAGACAATATCTTCTTTTTCACATCTTCTTTTTTATCTCTTTCCTCGATTTTCCGTTTTCTCGCAGTCATTTTTTACTGGAATTCTGAAACATTCAATAATTGTTGAAAGAATCAAAACTGAAACAACACGAATAAAATCTCCAAACAAGACCAACTGTAAAACAAATAAACAGGCTCCTTCTCTTGGCTGCCGAAATAAAAAATTGTTTTAACTGATAAGGAAATTTTAGAAAAGACGGGGGAGTGATATGATGGTGTGCACTATTAGCTGACAGTGCGTAAGAAGATTATTAGAGAAGCAGAAACTCAAAAGATAAGAAATTGGAATGGGACTTGATCTATGAAAATTTATTGCAGAATCTGGGAAAAAAAAAATCAAAATCAAAACTTCAATATTGTAAATTGTCAATAACAATTTATTCCCTTTTTTTAGGATTCGAAATTTCAGAAATTCAAAATTCTGAATTTCTGTATTTCGAAAATTCTGAAAGTAAAAACTCAGACATTGTTAATTCGGAAATTCAGAAATTCGGAGATTGAGGCATTCAATATTCTGAAATTACGAATTTCGAAAATTTAGAAAATCGGAAATACAGGAATCCAGGGATTCAAAAATTGGATTTTCGGAAAGTTAGAAATTTAAAAGTTCAGATATTAGTAAACTTGAAAATTCGAAAATCTAGAATTGAAGATTTAGAAGCATTAAAATTTAAGAATATAAAATTTCAGTATTTAGGATCATTTGAACTTCTGAGTTGTTTTGTTTCCGAACTTCCATGCTTCCAAAATTCTGAGTGTCTGAAATTCAGATTTTTTCAGATTTTTCCCAATTTCAGACTATTTTTAATCCTGAAGAGAAATTCGGAAATTGAAAAATCCTATTCCAACGATTTTAATTCAAAATTTCAGTGATTCCAGAACTAAACTTCCAGAAGTTTCGAGAAGTTTAGTTCTTACCTAGTTTCCAAATTTTAATATTTTTGATACTCCCAAACTTTTGAGGTTCCGGATTTCCAAATCTAGATTTTTCAAATTTCCGATATTTCGAATTTTTGTATTTCTGAAAAAGTTAACCAAGTTATTCTGTATTGCGTCTCCTTTCAACAAACTTTAGTAGATCTTTTAATGGTTTCCTGAGATTCTTAAAATTCGTTTAGTCTGTCTGAAACATTAAAAATTACGAATATTTTAAGTCCTGCTACTTTTCAGCTCATCGATTTGTCTGTCAACAATTTTCAGTACTTTCCCCTATCCCTCATTTTCCCTGAAAATCACCGTTTTTTCCTCCCACCCAATACCACCGGTATTCCTTCATTCTCTCACGTGAACCCATAAAAAATTGGGTGATAACCTGCCACCTACCTCGGTATATCTCAACTGAATTTGACGTGCACCTTCCCCATGAAAAAAATAGTATAGAAGACGAAGAGAGCGCAGACACAGATTGACCGGTGATTCCATTATTTGCCGATTCGATATCCCTCCCGAGAAGAAAGCTGTCAATTCGAAGAAATCTTGCGCCTACAGCGGAGAGAGTTCTCTCAAAGATATCGGACTGAGTCTCCGTTGATTATAGGAAAGAGATAAGACTACTATTCGTACTTTTACTTTTGATTTCGGTGTCGAGCTGGATTCCAGATGAATCGTATCCGAGCGGCGTTGCCGTGGAGGAAGAAGTGAGTTGGAAGATCCTATACTTTCTAAAGTCTAGCTTTTAAGATTTCAAAACTCTATATCACTAAAGTTTACTAATCCCGAGGATCTAGATTTCTGAAGTTCTAGTTTTGCAGATCCCACATTTTTTCGATTTTCTTATCAAGTTATTATTTTTTAAATTAAATCCAATAGATTCGAGATCCAAGAAATCCTTCATTTCAGAACCTACTACGGTGACTCCGACTCAACGGGTTACTGTAGTTCGTCTGATGTCTCCAAAGCTCTCTCCGATTCTCAATTTATTCTTCGTCCAAACACCGCTTTACTGAGTTCCTCTTACTCAAATGGAACCAACTATTATGCGGTAAGTAATACTAATTGATACTAATTACCGCAAAAATGCTGATAGAATGGTCCCTCAATTTTGAGCCAATCAACCTAATTTTTTGTATTAGATATCAAAAAGGGGTGGACTGAAATGTTGCTGATATTATCATGTGGTCAGTTAACCACTTTTTGATATCATCTACAGGAAGGGAACTAAATTGGCTCAAAGTTTGAAGTTATGGGAGACATTCTACTAGAGTTTATCTTGTTTTCTCTGAAAATACAAATTCCGATTTTCAATTTTGTCCTAAAACCAGGTTTCTAGATTATCTAGAACCCGAGATACAGCGATTCAAACATAGGAGACTAGTGACACAGACAACGAGACACTCTAACTGTCTGCGTCTCGTCGAAACTTTAAAACGATATTTCTCGAGTCCTCGATTAGCTAGAAAGCTGGTTTTTTTTACAGAATTAGATAATTTGAATTGAATTTCCAGATTAAATTTAAAAAGTAAACTTTTTTTCAACATTGAATGTTTTCATTCGGGTAGTTCAAAAATAAGAGATGGACAACTTTGAAGCCCTACAAAGTAGTCCATAATTTTTCAATATGTCTGAAGTTTTCAGAATACACAAAAAAAGAGATTTATTTTTGTAGTTGACGTCTTTTTTGTACAAATCCAAAAAAAACACGATAAAAGGAATTTTCGACACTTTTTTGATTAAAAACTGCATATCTCATCAGAACAGAATCTGGCCAAAATTTTGTCAATTACAAAAATGAAGCTCTATTTCTGTTTAATAATTTCTATTCTTCGCTGAAAGAAGTGAAAATATTGATTCGTTTTGTGTGGTACTCATAACTCAACTTTTACAGAAAATAAAACTATATTATTTTAGCTCACCTACACTGACAACTCTCGCCGGCCAAAAGATAAAGGGAGTACTATCACTTCAAGAAGTTCCACAATCAGCTCGACCACTTTCAAATCTCATTCTCTGGTAGGTTGGCCTAACTTTTCAACAAAACCAGGCCACGAGCTTTTCAGAATACATCTGCTGATGGTGACGATGAGGACGACGAAGACGAGGCCAGCACGATTCGTGCCAATTCTGTCAAACAAGTTCCCATGATGCCTAAACTCACATCTTTGAAACATTTGATGACGGAGAGTTCTAGTGAAGAACTTCCACCACAACATGAAGAAATGGAAGATGACGTGGCAACTCTAGAAGAGGTTTCAATGGAATATGACGATGATGAGGACGATGATGTAACATTGGATATTCCTCCAAGACGAGAATATAGGAATTCGAGTTTTCGATCGTTTCCATTTTCCTATCAATTGATGGAGAGTGAAATGGATCGACTTTTTGATATGATGCAAGTCGATGAGCAGATTCCAAGCACGTCTCATTCATCAAATTCAAATGACTCTAGGAAGAAACGTCTTCTGATTCGAGAACCAACTTCTACCATCTACTATCACGATGTGTCATCATCTGAAGCTCCGCCCCCTAGACCATTCCTCCAAAGAACTGAAAGTGTTCCTAGATCGATTTTAAAGAATTCTTCATCATTCGCGATTTATGAAGAAATCTATGGAGACCATTTGACACCACCGCCCATTGATATCCGACCACAACTACCGGAACGTCCGATCATGGCATTCCAGCAGTTTCCACCGTGTAATACGTTCCAGCCAAGATTGCCACAGAGGTTTGGTTCTTGTTTTCTTGTGGTGGGGAATTTCGAAATTATCGATAGAACACATTTGTATTCTTAGAACTTCATAATCTCATTAATAGAACTTCAAAACGCCAGAATCTGGGAAGCTGGGGACTTGGCATTCTTAGAATCCTCTTCAAAAATCCCAAGAGTCCTAAAAAGTCCGGAAATTCATAAAAATCTAAAACTATTGAAAGCGCCTATCTCAAAATCGGCGAATCTCAAATATTATATATTCGAACGGAGCTCACTTTCATCTCCTTTTTTCCAGAATGCCCTCTGTCCGTCGCCGCAAGAAAATGCCTAGTCTTCATCACTCGACGTCGTTCGCCTCGTACTTCAGAAGGCGAAAATGATTCAAGGAATTGTACTCTATGAACATTTGCGTACTTTTAATTAGTAATAATACGGATGGAACATATGTATTGACTTGTAGTTATGATGGCTTTTATTGTTTTGTATGTATGAAATAAGAATGAACAAGTTTGCATGCACATAAAAACGAAAATAAAGAGGAGGAAAAAGTTGAAAAATATTATCAGAATTGGTGTTATCAGTTGAAAGTTCAATGACGATAGAGGAGGGATTATTTTATCAATTCTACCTTTTTGGCTTCAAAACTGCCAAGGCTACGTCAATTTGAATAACATGCGCAAAAAAGTCGACGACATTCACCGCCGATGCGAATTGTGCATTCTGATCCGACGAATCGTGCAAACGACTTGCTAACACTTCCTTGACACATTCATCCATTGAAGAATAACTCAGACGAAAGATGACTACAGTAACCGTGTAGCCTTCTCGTAGTCTTGACATTTTCTCATCTACAGTTGCTTCAGAAATGCCACGAGGTCCTTCTAGAACTTCTCGAAGTTGGCGAGCAGCGATGAGATGCCATTGAGGGATGGCGTGTTTTCTGGATTCGTCAAATCGGAGTTTGATTTCTCGTTCAAGAGAAACGCGGAGCTCAACTATCCAGTCTTCTGGAACTTTTGAATAACGGATTGAAGCTGGTTGGACACTTTCCAAAGGGTCATCGTTGGCAGCAAATAGTGGCTTCCAGTGAGGGGTCTTCTGAAAAAAAGAAAACCTCAAAATATGGAATTTTAGGAATAGGAATGGTTTGTTACCCCTAAAAACAGTTTTTGGCCCTTTCATAATGCTATTTTTCGGTTTAGCAAACATTTTAAAATCTTCTAATCCTCAAAACTCAAACTTCCCCCACTCACCGTCAAATTCATTGAAATCTGTGATGCTTGCTCATACGGCTGAACATTTGCATAATAATTTTTCTCATCAAACGCTCCATAAATTTTGTCCAATGCACAATTTGAATCCATCGCTTGATAGATGTGGCCATTCTCCGGATCGATCAAAACTTGTTTTCCCTCGATTTCCGACAACACAAATCCAGTTTTTTCGCCGCGAGCTTCCCCTGAAATATCTGTTTATCGGTACATCCAGATGTCCACACTCTTACCTAGAATTATAGCAACAGGAAGTCTGAAATGCAGAAGCCAGCATCCCAACAGAGTAGCTCTCTCCTCTAATCCTCCTGCAGCAATACTTATCAACTGGAACACATTTCCCCAGATGTCCGAATGGGACGTCGCATCGACACGTGGTATTCCTGACACAATTTTTGCAGCCAGTCGACAAATTTCCGGAATATTCGCCGCATTTTCTTGCATTACAATTTGAGGTGGAATAATTGGACGAAGATATCTTGTACAAATCGTAGAATTGGCATTCAGATCAGTGACCAACGGACGGAATATTCGTTTTGGATATTGTTCGTGTAGTTGCCTTTCGAGAAGTGCACATTTGTCCAGCGTTTTTTGATTTTCGAAACTTGATGTGCTTTTGGTATATTCGACTTGAGTTTTTGGATCGATTTGGGTGGAGAAGAGGATTTTCAAGAAGCATGGGTCCGGGGAAATACTGGAAATTTTCAATGGTCAAGATTTTAAGATACAAAAACAGTTTAAATTTTTGGGGGTACTTGGAGAAAAAGAACACAAATAGAGCTCCATTTTTGTAGTTGACAACTGTTTAGCACAATAATGTTAAAAGGAGATACATGAACTTTGAACTAGCTGATTTTACAAAATTTGAATATTTTACAATTTTTGGGAAGCTTATACGGCTCCATTTTTGCAAACGATTCAGCTTGTCGTAAACACTCTTTTAGGATGAACATCTCAAGTTTCAACTTTGAACAAGTTTACCAAGATATTAAGAAGTGATTTTAACTAACAAAATATGTTTGATATTATGATAAACATATTGTCAGTTGACCGGTTTTTGATATTTTTTACAGAAAATGAGATGGATTGGCTCAAAGTTGACTGTTTGAAGGGTATCCTATTACTTTCGTCAATATTGAAGCCATACAAAAGTAGTCCATAAGTTTTCGATTTATCTGTAAATTTCAGATTATACTAAAAATACAGAGAACTTCCTTTTTGTAATTGAAACTTTTTTTCCGAATTGTATCATGAGGCCGTTTTTGTAACCAAAAAAGTGCCAAACATTAGAACTGAAATGAGAGTTGTGCCACTATAAAACCACTCATCTCGCTTTGTTGGTTTTTTACCAATACATTGGTAAATCACAAAAATAAAGCTCTATTTTTGTTTAGTACACTATGAAACTTTTCAGACACATCCAACAAAATTTACAGTATTTTAACGATTTCAAAGTTGATTAATCACCACGTTTTGCCCGGTAAGTGTTTAAGGTACACATATCTGTGCATCCAGATGTCTAACCAACCTATAATTCGTTATATAAAGTGGAACATTCAGCATGATGGGCGCATTGATTTTCGAAACCACCGACAATGTCTCGAAACGAATTTTTTGTGTAGCCAAGAGCCGAGCCGACAATTGCTCATACACAACGTTCTGAATACGATCGTCCTTATCGATGCCTTCGACGAGCTGGAAGACTAATTCAATTTTTGAACAAACGGAAAGCTGAGGTTCGATTATATACCTGGTCATAAATTCTAATCTCAATATACTCCGCCTCTCGATCCTCCTTTGAAATCACTAGCTTTCCCGTAAACTGCCAATTCGGATGTCGTCCCACGGCCACATCGGTATTGAGTCGTTTTCCAGAATAACTGACGACTACAAATGGTTGAAGCATTCCGGAATGTCGAACAGGGAGATTGTTAGCTGATTGGATGTTAATCACTATGGTATTATCCCAACCATCTTCTCTGGCACGCTCTTAATAATATTACTGTAAGCATAGAAGGACACCCTGTACTTGCACTTTGAGTTCAATTATCTCAATTTCTGTAAGAGATAACAAAAACCTGCCAAGGAATAAAATTTTTGTTTTAACATCACTAACATGTTATTTGTTTACACATTTTTCGTATCTCTTATAGAAATTGAGATAATTGAGCTCAAAGTGCTTGTATAGGGTGATTTTCTATTAGAGTGTTTACGGTAGCTGTGACAAAAGCGTTCTATTCAATTTGACCTACCCTCCTTTCTCATCGGTTTCAATCTTCTCGAAATATCGGCTGGTCCAAAAAGTTGCGAAAACGCTACCGAAAGAGTTGGAATGGACTCCTCTCTCACGATTTCCTCGTACTTCCTCTCCTTTCTCTGTCTCCTATCCATCACTCGCTTTCTGGCCAAATTGGCAAACTGAAGTGCCGAAATCCTTCTAGAATCGATTGCACTTCTATACGCATGCCGTTTCTGCGCTCGATCCTCTTCTCGGAGCTCTTCCAATCTCCTTTTATCATCTTCCTCATTTAAGGATCCTAGAACTAATTCCGATGGGATGAGCTCAAATTTCTTCTTCTTCTCTTGCATGGACTCGGCTAATAGTTTGTCGTCGGCAATTTTAAGCTCGCCGTCCTCCAGAATTGTTCTACATAAGATTCTCCCAGTTTCCTTACGATTCGGATTAGAGCCAATGCTTCCAGCAACACTATAAAGATTTTAGGATACTTGTGAGCTCCTAGGGCCAAAGAAGAAACTTACGACTCCATGAAATCATTATTCTCAAACCAAACTTCATGCAACGCAATCTCTAAATCATCATCAGATGGCAATGGGACATTTCCAACTCCCAATGTTCGAACCTTTCCATTACAATGTTCCTTAACCTCCAGAGTCAACGACTTCATCGCAGAACACAACTCCAGTTCGAATCGTTTCGCATACGACATCACATTAGAACTCAACGGAATCCATGCAGTACTACTGACAAAATTATCATTGAATGATAGGATCAGTTGGATAGTTGTTTTTCTCATCATGGCGATTCGTTGGCGGGATGCTTTTGGGATCTTTCCAATTGATGTTAGTTTGGCAGATTTGGTAACAGAGCCGTAATTGCTCCAGTCTTCGATTTCCCTGGAAAATCTTTTTTTTTTCGAAAATGAGTTTCCTAGTGAATTCTGATCTAAATTCTACAAGTTTCAACAAAAACGTTTATTTCCCTTTTTACAGCTAATAGAGTTGAACCATGGCCGTCAACGTTGAGACAACTTATCTCGTTTCCTGTGGGAGATATCAAAAAAGGATTTTTGGATAGCCGAAATTCCAGCTTTACAAAAGGGTACCATAAGAGATCATTCTCGTTTCTCTGCGTCTCTTGAAGCCGAAAAACTTGTAATTTTTCAAGATCCTAAAGCTTACTGCTTTTCACTGGAACTTTCGAAACTTTAGTTCATACCTAATTTTTTTTAAAAATCGAAAAAAAAAACCTACCATGAAGTCTTAGCAGGCACAAAATTTGATGTCGTTGCCGTATACCCTTGAACTCTTCTAGTCTCATTTAACACGTCTCCAAGGCGTTCCAATTCCAACCGCCCCTTACGAACCTGCTCTTTCATCCGCGGTTGGCGGTCCAAGTCTCTGAAATTACTTTTTTTTCAGGTTACCTCATTTTCATGCTCACAGTTGATGTCTCTCAAGCTGAGCAATCTCATGGACCCTCAAAAGTTGAACCATGAACTCATTGCGCAATTCAGCAGAAATGACTTCTTCCTCAGACCAAAGATAGTGATGATCGAAATGAATCGAGTCTATGAAGACGTCCAGTTGGACGTATTTTCGACTTCTAGCCTGACTGATTACGTTGTCGACGGCTTCTGGAGCAGTGTAAACGCTCACTGAGTCTTCGGCGTACTCGACCTAAAGTACTTGACCTACAGTAACCCATATTTTTAGAACAAACTCACCCTGGTTGGTAGTACTGTAGCCTTCTTCAGAATATCCTTTGGCACTATTTCTCCACAAATTATATTGCTGAAAATTTTTGATTTTTCGAACCTTTTAAATCATATAATTACCTATCCTTCAGCACATATTTAACCATTAAATCATGTTGATATTTGACCTCTTCCACTCTCCCATAAATCACTTTTCTCGGCTCTTCTTTTTTCACCTCATCCTTCTTTGGTTTTGCTTCGAAAAACTCATCGATATCTCTTTCAGCTGCGTTAGTAGTCTCATTTGCAACCAGGTACTTCTCTCCCATCTGAAAAATTATGACCTAGGAGTTTTCTAGACCCCGTCTGCAATAAACCTTAATCGTCTTCTCAACTTGCTCATCAATGGCATGCAAGTCATTCTCATCAAGATGTTCCTCTTGGACTACTGTAGGTCGTCTAGCCAATCTTCTATTCAATTGAACATTCCCACGAGTTCTCTCCACCGCCTTTTGAGCACTTTTTCTGATTCGATTCCTCATTTGCTCTTTGGATTCTTTCTTAGACACATCCTGTTGGATCGATGATTCTAAACTAGTCTGTTCATCTACCACTGCTACAGAAAGCTCTTCTTTTTGGTCGGTTTCCGATCCTTGGGACTGGAAAGGAAATAGGTCATTCGTTTTGAGTTCTAGTTTCATAAATTCACCAAAAAAGAAGAACTGTTATTCTGCGCTCCTTCCTCCACCAATGGCTTCACACTAGGCTGCTTTTCTTCTAGAATCTTTCCAGCCTTCGCTTTAAACTTCATCAGATGCTCTTTGATTGATTCTCGTCGATTCTGTTTCTTATCCTTCTCATCTTTACCAAATGGACCTGGTGATGGTGATTGCTCACCGTCATCTGAAGGGGCTAAGCCAACAGACGCAGAACGAAGGTGTAGTTTTTCCGGTTTTTTTCGAGACGCCAAAATTTGTTCAGCGGCAGCCGGGGGACGGACTAAATGTTTTTGTGTTAAAAAAGTGTAAAATTTGGTTTTCTCTGTGTATTTTTTTCAGGTTCTGAAAGTGATAGAAACAATTTTTTCCTCCAACGTCGTTTGAACATATTGCTCTAATCGAAGCCCATCCGACACGTGCTCGTTGAGTTCAATTATCTCGGTTCTTAGCAGAGATATAAAAAACCGGTCAACTGATAAAATATTCTTGATATTATGATAAATAATTTATTTGTGGCAAATACTCATTAGCTTGATGATCTTTTGCTGAATGCTCACTTGCTAAATATGCTCATTTGCTAAACTCGCTCATTTGCTAAAATAGTCTCACTTGCTAAGTTTCATTTGCTAAATTTTGATCATTTGCTAAATAGAGGATTTGTTCAGATTGAAGGCTTAGGCTGAAAATACATACCGGAAAACAGGTGTTAAAGCCTAAGCCTAAAATTTAAAGCGAAAACCGGAATATTCTGTAAAAAATTGAGTCAAAAAGTACTGAAATTAGCAAATAACAGCAAAATTTCCACTTTTTCATTTTTAGCAAACGATAAAAATTTAGCAAATGAAATTTAGCAATAGAGACTATTTTAGCAAATGAGCGAGTTTAGCAAATGAGCATATTTAGCAAGTGAGCATTTAGCAAAAGATCATCAAGCTAATGAGTATTTGCCTTTATTTGTTGAACATTTTTTGATATCTTTTAAAGGAACCGAGATAGTTGAGCTCCAAGTTCGAGTATTGGGTGAGCTTCGAGAATACGGTATTCTCTTGTCCGAAATCGGTGCACCTTGAGGTAGGGAAACACAGCTAAAGGCGCAGCGCTGAAAAAACAGAGAACACCGTAACTTTTTCATGAATGCATGCGATTATAAATCATTTTATAAATATTTTTCTAAACATTTTTGACGACTTTTCATATTTTTATTCCGACGAATCGTCGACTGCCGTCAGTTTTTCATGATTTCCATCGAAAAATAATCCTGAAAATAGTCACAAATTCAAGATGTTCAAAAGCGCATGTAATTACCGTAAAACCTGTGATAGAAGATATCCCTAACTTTGAACTTTGAGCCAATTGATCTCGATACCCGTAAAAGATAAAGAATAGTTGTCCACTGATAAAATGTTTGTTAGATTATGATAAACATTTCATCAGTTTACCAATTATTCATATCACTGACAGGGAACGAGGAAAATTGACTCAAAATTATGAGCTAGTGTACCCTTCTATTATAGGTTTTACGGCCTGTAAAGTCTTCATTCGTTTGGTTTAGACGGTGCATTTTTAACTGCATTTTCCGGCTTCATGGTGCATCGATTTCGAACAAGAATATTTCAATTTCCCGCCTTTGTGTCTCTAGAATAAAAACACTAATCGTGGTTCAATCTAGTCTCCAAATCTACCTATTCAGATTTTATCTGTCTTCTTCTTCTAATTATCTTTTTCCCCTCTAGAGTCTAATTCCCCATAATTGCCCAAAATCCCCTGCAGCTGTTCTTCTCTTGCGTGAGCGTCGCGGTCGTACGCTCACGGTTCTCCTTTGATGACGTGGCAGTGGCGAATCGGTGTGAGGAGGAAACATTCAAATCTAGGCGAAAATCGATATTTGTGCACCGGTAGTGCGCCTAGTGTGTGCTTGACGACTTCGATAAGAAACTTCTTTTTCGAAAATTTGTGGGAAAATTCAAGAGAATTGCGAAATTCAAATTGAAATTCTGCGGTGCAGTGTGTGGAGGATGGAAATTCTTTTTAAATTTGGTGCATTTTTGAAATTCAGTTTTTTTTTAAAATTTGCCGGTTGACATGTCTTCATTGGAGTCTTCAGGAAATTCGAATTAATGTTGATTGAAAACTTAAAATTTTCTAGAATTTTCCAAACCTTCTAGTCTAACTAATATTTCAAGTGTCTCCTTTATCCAATGCGACTGCCAACATCTTGCCAGCAAGTTATGGATCTAGCTGAGGCTCGATGTGGAAGCCGGATCGGAATTTTGGGACGTTTTTTAGGCGAATAAAATGGCAGAAATTAGAGGGGAAGTGGGAGAGGGGAGGGGAAGGCGGGAGAATAGTGCAACAAATGACTAGCGGAGGGGAGGACGATCGGCCTTTTATATGCATCGCAGTCGGGGACAATGCACTGTTCAAATAGGTAATCGCGCGCGCACCTGTGTAGCAATGGAGCGCGATTAGCGAAAAAGTGGGAGGAGCCTCAGAAGACGTTATTTATGAAAAATTTAGAGATTTTTTACTTCTATCACATTCAGAACTCTTTTTTTAAAGAAAGACATACCGATTCCATCCTCCACTGAAACAGAATTTCGCCGCATGCTCCGGAATAAGAAGCCCTAAATGCGCCCAAGACTCCTTTCCTAGAGTGCTTGCTCCCATGGCAACTGCTAGGGGGAGGAGGAGAAAAGAAAAAGAGGAAAGGAAAAGGAACATATAAAGCATTCATATATTTATATTCAAAAGATCAAGCAGCAAGGAGATGTTAAGTATTCAGTAATAGTTCTAGTAACCGGAAAAATGGAGTTTTACAAAAAAAGGATATTTATAGCTTCTCGAAGACTTCCTCGTATTCACAAGTCGAGCATGTGCGCTTCCACGTGTCTTCCTTCACATGAGTTTCTTTTCCGAATTCGTGTGTATGCGGCTTTCCGAAGTCAGTTCGCATTCCGGCGTTGCCACGGATCTGTTGTCGAAGATCCTTGAGTTTCTTCTCAAATTGCTTTTCGGCACGGACCTCTTTCGATTGCTCACGAATCTCCTTCTTCATTTCGAGCTCTTCGAAGCTTCCATGAACTTCGATGACGCGTTGTTCGACCTGACACTTAAGATACAACTTCATATCGCCATATCTCGGATTATGCGGATTCTTTTTGGCCCAAAATCTCAATGGTGGTTTTCGAAGATCCAGGTCACAATCTTTGAGCATATACGTCGTCTTCACTTCAGTTCTTGCCAGCAATTTGTGCTCTCCCTTATCATCTCTACAAGCATCACAAACTGCACAATTGTATCTCTCCCACAGCCAACTATCCATCAGAACCTTCTCGCATTTTTCGCAATTATCGGGTGCTTTTGTGGAGCTAAACGCTGCGTCGGCGCCTGGAAAGATGGGAAAATTAGGTGTGTTGAAGAATCTTCCGGAACTCACGCTTTTGTCTCATTTCCGAAATCTGCTCTCGACGCTCCTGAACCTCGTCGTCATCTTCGCAAAATCCACCACCAATATAGTCGGATTCCTGGTTTTCTCTGAAAAACAAAATTGTAAAAACATATATAATCACTATTCACCAACCGGTACAACTTCTCCACAATCGGAACTTTGTCTTCCTCATTCGCTGATGGGTTGTAACTACGTTTTGGCATGTTTTTTAATCTGGAAAACGTCGATTTCAGGATATGTACCGATATTTCGAAATTCGAAACGAAATTAAAAATATAAAAAAGTTATATCTAATTTTTGTTGAGAAAAAAACTCGGTGAAACAACTGAAACTCCAACGAAAACGCAAAATTTTGTGTGTTTGAAATATTTACTTTTCTTTTGTCTTCTCCTCTCGTAGTACACGGCCGAGTTTTCTCCCTTTACCTACAATACGCGGCCACAAACTTGGAGAGTTGTTCCTTCAAAATACTGTAGTCTTTTCAAGACGCCGGCTCACAATTTGACAAGTGTGCCTTTAGACTACTGTAATTTTTTTCTTTGTGAGACGTGGTTAAAAACTTTGATGGCTGCGCCTTCAAAGCACTGTAGGAAATTTTTGGTGGCTTTTCAAAATTTATCTATTTTTTCTTTTCTTTTTTGCTCTTTTTTCTTTAATTCTGAATGTCTGCTTGTTCCGATTGACCAGTAATGATTGAAAGTGACACTAAAAAATGTCAAAAAACGATGACATCTTCTAATTGTATTGAAAACCGTTCCGTTGGTGGGCGAAACGACAACGACCGCAATGTAAAATAGGCCAGCTATTCCGGCTATCTGTCCCTCTATTCTCCTTCCCCGTCGTCGCTCGTAATAACTCATTCAGGACCCCACATCTCTTCCTTCTTCTTCTTTCTCTTTCGTCCCATTTCTCTTCGTTCATCGTTTCAATTATCTCGTCCCCGTTCTGGGTGCAGTGTCCTGGGGTCCCATCGATTTTGACACTTTTTGCATTTTTCTGGCAACCGGAAGGAACATTTCGACATGTCCACATCTCTGATTCTCTCTATTTTCTCTCTCTAATACTCACTGTATTATTGCCTATATTTGGAAGAAGAGTGTATGACCGGAGAGAGAAGAGAATGTCTTTCTGTGTGTATTTAGTGGCGCCAAACAAAACAAAAAAAATCATCGGACGAGGACGTCTCGATGCGTTTTCTACACCTGGGGGCTACTACTCATCATGTCCTGCTCTCTGTCTCTCTCTCTCTCTTTTCCACTTTTTGTTGTGTTCCGGAAAAATCGATTTGTTTAAATACCTCTCGAAAGGTTGGAGGACACGTCAAAAAATATATTCTAAAAATTACAACGATTTTTGGTAAACTTGGAAAAAATCCTGCTAATTTCAAGACCACATTTAGGTTCTCAAATCTTTTAAACTGCCACAAAGACTGAAAATTCTCTGACAGAGCGGTACTCTGTACTTATACTTTAAGTTCAATTATCTCGTTTTCTATAAAAGATATCAAAAATGTGCCAACTGATAAAATATTTTTTATAATATCACCAACGTTTTATCAATTAGCAAAATTTTGATATCTCTTGAAAGAGCCGAGATAATTGAGCTTCAAGTATGTATGCCGTAAACAGTCTGATAATTCTTTATTTCGTGGCGAGATTATTCAAAGTTCTGTGTTGTGCGCCTTTCAAGTTATCGTATTCAACATTTTCAAAAGCGGGCCATCGAAAATTTTCCAGAATCTAGAAAAATAAAACCGAATTCTGCCTTCTCAATAACACAAACAAAACTGCAAGTGTTCATCATCAAAAAGGAAATAGAGAAAGGGATGAAATGCGCAAAATCCCAACACACAAAAGTCACCACACCATATATAAGTATTTACTTTGTGAGACAGGGCCCCCGGTGTCCCTCAGCTCTTTCCCTCTTTCTTGTTGTTCAGTACAGAGCCTTCTTTCTCTATCTACTTCTAGTTGATTCATTCAAATTAGTGCTTGAGTGGTAGGGGGAAGACTCCACGCTCTTCCTTTTGAACACATGCACCAATTGGTGCATGTTCCTCTGTTCCCTTTTCGGATAAAAAGAGTGAGCCTTCAGAAGAGATTCTAGGGACCCTTCTCTGCGACGTCGTCTCTTCCACCTCGTTTTCTATTATCAAAGCCTTCTTTGTTGTTTTGGCACAACATTTCTTCTTCTTCTTCCTAAGCCTTCATTTGATGGGTTAAGACTCTTCTCGGATGTTGAGAGAAAAGAACACGAAGAGATAATTTCTATCGAAAAGAGTGAAACTATTGTTCTTTGTCTTTTTCTTCGAAACTATTTAAGAGAAAATGAAAAACAATTAATTCACAATTAGCATATTCGGGTTCCCCAGAGAATGGACCCATGTTGCTCTTCTGAATATTAATTGAGAAGGCACAGATGGGGATCTTGTCTGTCTGTGTGTTTGTCAGTGAAATTTCTGGATCTCGGAGGTCCCACAACGAAAACTACCGTAGCCAAAAATATATGTTGGTTTTCCGGATTCATTTTCTGTTATTTTCCCCCAAGCACGTCGGTTGAAAATTGACTCGAAAAGCAGTGAAAATAGAGAAAAAACCGGAGAATAGTAATACTTTTTATTTACTGTAGTCTTCCACAGCTCCGAGTTTCTTGTACCAGAATCATAATGATTCATGCGTTTGTTTATTCCTATTAAGTCATTTTTTTGTTTCCAGAATTTGTGACTCATGATTTGGTATATATTAACTGGATCACATTGTGTGATTTCAAATAAATATTTGTGAAATTCCTCGGAACAACTGTTCATAATATTTTTATCTCTAAACAATAACAACTGATTATCATAAAATGTGTCGTCTCCCACTCATTTTTCATTATAAATTCCTAATTTTAAAATAAATTCGAACCCAAACCAGGTCACCTCATGATTGTTCAAATATTACGAAAGTTGAGAGGGAGACAGAATGTTCACTTTCTTCTAAAAGATGACTCATTTTATATATTGTTAAACATATAGAGGTGTCGTCGAAGCAGCTGAACAACACAATCAAAGCGTATCAAGAGAATTTTTACAAACTTTTCGAAAATTTTCGTATTTGTACAGCTTTTCGGGGTCAGCTGAGGTTGAGGGCTTTGGCATATTTGTTGACAAATTGAAGAAAAGAGCATGAATAATTTGAATTTCTGCAAAAAACGGTTATTTCTGTTTCAAACTTTAGCAAAAAATTTTAGCAAACTAGCCTTCGTACTACTGTATTTAAAACTGTTTTCGATGCGAGACACTACTTGAAACTTTAATGGCTGTGCCTTTAAATTACTTTAACACATTATTGGCGATTTCCGCAATTTTTACTTTAATTTTACTGTGAACCTAGATCATTTTATTATTAGATTTTAGCTGAAGACATTGATCGATTCCCCTTTTGAAATATTCGGAAATTTTTTCAAAAATCGGCCTAATCTGAAAAAAGATTTTATACTACCGTAGTTCCCATAAGCCTCAAAATTTTCAAGTTCAAATCCTGAATTCTTCAAATTGCCGGTCCACCAATTCTTGTGATTTTCACCACAATCTGCGTCTCTCTAATTCTTTCTATCTCTCTCTCTCTACGACCCTAAACCAATTCCACCATCTTGTAAATACCCATTGTTTCCGGTGTTCACCCACCCGATCAACCCCAAAACCGCCACCCATTCCACATGTTTCAAATACACAGATTTTCTCAAAAAATCGGAAAAAACGGCCTTGTTGAATCCCCGAGTGTCTATGTGCAACAATATGTCTTATCAGTGGAAAACGGTCAGCACCTCCATCTGTCAATTTGAGGACATAAAGGAAAAGAGAAATGGTGTAGAGGGGGGTATTGAACCTATCTCTGCGTCTCTCCCACTTTCTATGCTCTCCAATGCTCTCTCGCCTCTCCCTCAATTTCCTCCACACTCATTTCTCACCCCCCCCCATTGTGTCCCATTTCCTCTTCCAAATGACTCATCAGTTTCTGATAAAATGCTTTTTAGTAAAAATAAAATAAAAAATTTCAGATCGGTAGATGAGTGATCCCCCTGCCTTGAAAATACAATAAGATCAAAAAGATGTCAATGTCCAGGAGCACCATCCAGGAGTTGTGTGAATTTGTGCAGCGTGAGTAGTAGCTATTCTCTTTAATGCCGCGTTCAAAGTTGATTTCCAGGAGTAATTTCCTGGAAAAACGCTGTCCAAAGCTGCCATTGTTTTCCAGATTTCCAGGCACACTAAACTACTGTATCACTCGTTTTGACTATGTTCTCTCTGTTGATTCATGTCGATTTACGGCGGGTCTCGAAGCGGAGGCCTCTGGAAAACAATGGCAGCTTTGGACAGCGTTTTTCCAGGAAATTACTCCTGGAAATCAACTTCGAACGCGGCATAAAGTTCTAAAAATCCCAAAATTTTCAGACAAACCCTCACAAATCCTGGGCAACAAATTCTTCGATTCCCGGATTGTGGTACAGGTGGACGTGGCTCACAAGGCCGACAAATATGAGCCTCGCATTTTTGTTATATCAAAATTTAGGTAAAAATTTGAAAATTTGAAGGTTTTTGTGCAGAAAATCATGTAGATTCACCTAAAAAATGAAGAAGAAAAGGTTCAGAAAATCTCGTACTCTAATTTTTTCTTGATTTTCAGTGTGTTTTCAGGTTTTTTGAGGTTCCTATTCATATTCTGGGAGAAAAAATTAACGAAAAAATCTCCAGAAACCCTGAAAAAACACTGAAAATCAAGGGAAAAAAAAGTGAAGTACGATATTTTCCCAATTAAGGATTTTTTTGAAATTTTCTTTTTTTCTGTGAATCTGCATGATTTTCTGCACAAAACAAAGCAATTAAATAAAAATTTTATCGTACACCATTATTTCAGGATATTCCTTCTTATGGGTAAAACGACGTCTTCACTGAAAATCGAGAAATCATTCCACGTTCTAACAATCAAAGCGATCCACGTCATCAGCGACGACGAGGTTGTGATTCATTTAGACGATGGTGTGCACAAGAAGAAGATCAACATGAAGTGCTCTGTTCACTCAGCAAGCCATTTAGCACGACAACTTTTATCAGCGATTAAACATTATTTCCCTGACTTCGGTGTCCATTTGAATCAATCAATCGATGTGAACCCAGCGGCACTCTACACTGAATTCGCATCCCTTCCCACTGCATCACCCCGTCCTTGCCATTCATTTCGAAGGACTTATGCAGCTCTTTGTGATTTTTATGATCAACCGTATCGAGAAGAAGTGTCTTGGGATGTGGAGAAAATATACACGGCTAACAAGCTAAAGGATTTGAAAATCGACGATTTCTCACATCTTCTGCCTAAAGATCTGCTTCCGATAGTGGGTGTTCTACAGTACTCCTCCTACTTTACCGGTCTGATTTGTGATGCCGTTCGGGTTTCGTCAGAAGTGATCGATGTGATTTTAAGTGTGATTCGGAAATCGCATAATTTGAAAAAGCTTCAGTTGAGGAGTTGTGGATTGCCAAAGTGAGTTTTTTGACTTTCTGAATCATCAGGCATGTTCGAAACGGAGTTCAGAATATTGATAATTTCGATCATTCGAGCTTTTTGGGGATTTTTAGTTTGAAATTTGAAATGTCCAAATTTCCTGAATTGATTTCAAAGCAAAACTTGGAGAAAGAATGCTTGCACAATTTGTATTTTCAGAGACTTCGTTACCCTCCTTGCCTCTGCTCTCCATAACAACCAAAACGCGTGTCTGGAGCATTTAGACGTGTCGAGAAACCCTCTAGAAGACAAGAAAGGATTCACAATTCTCTCATCAGTGCTTCCCAGGTTGACCCAATTAAAGTACGTCAACGTTTCCGAGTGCCAACTGACCGATAAATCCATGAATCTGCTGTGTACGGGACTTTATAAGTGAGTGATTTATCCGGTTGTTTCAGAATAATTTTCACATTTTTCAGTGGAATGACATCGTGTAAAAGTGGTGGAATGCAGGTGACTGAACTGATTCTATCGTCGAACCCAATTAAAGATGATGTGAGTGTTTTTTTTTTAATTTGAAATTTCAAAAGTTAGAATTTCTAGATATCCGCCATTATTAATCTCGTTTCCATCTGCACTTCTCTCCGAGTTTTGGACCTTTCTGACACGGGAATTCACTTGGACAAGCTCTGGAACTCTCTGAAATTCGGCGGTCTTCAAATCGAAAAACTCCTTCTGAATGGATGTTCTCTCGGTGGAAAGAAGTCAGAAGGCGTTCAAACAGCCAAGGAGTACTTCTCAATGGCAGTAAATCTATCGCATATCTCACTTAACAACACGTCGATGCCATCGGAATACTTGAAAGCCGTGCTTCTGGGTCTCGCATCGAATCAACAACTCCAACCATTCCGTTTAGATTTGGATGCTACGTGTGAGAAGGGATCGGCAAATGTTCTAGACGCGTGCATCGGTGGTGTTCGTTGCGAGACCCTCAGTCTTCGAGACAACAATTTGGATGGGGATCTACAGGGAGTACTGCAAAGTCTGATGATGGTTACATGTCTGAGACGGTTGGATATCGGAGGATCGAATATGAATCAATTGAAAAAGAATAACAAACAAGCTCATGTCATCAACAAGATTCTGTTAGATGTCGTCAAGTTGTATAGTGAAGAAGGGTGTCTTGAAGAGCTGAACCTTTCGGAATGTCGCCTCGGCGCCTACCTGAGTGTCCTCCTTAACACTCTTGGTGCCACAACGACACTCAAGAGTTTGGATATCAGTGGAAATGAAATTGGCAACTTTGGAGCTCGAATTCTCTCGAAAGCTCTCCAAGTCAACGTATCCCTCCGATCAGTCTCCATCGACAATAATCACATTGGCGCTGATGGATTCGTCGATTTGGCGACTTCTATGAAAATGAATCACACTTTGACCCACTTTCCATACCCTGTCCAGGATGCTTTTGACTGTATGCAACGAGTTGAACGAACGAGATCCGTGGCTGCACTCACACAGATTCAGAATTGTCTATATAGGAATAGAACGGCGATTGGATCAGATGAAGCCAACTGCAAACGAATGTTCGCTGGTGGCGTCCTTCAACAGATGGAGAAGGCTTCAGATGACGTGGTTGGAGGAATCATCGACTCCATTACCACCTATGGACAAGAACCATTCCCACCGAAGATGTCGGAAATGGTCGAGGAGTTTGTAAGCAAGTTTCAAGTAGAAGGAGGTCGTCTGATCGCTGAGAACATCTCCAGAACTATCGGAGGAGATTTGAATGCCACGTCACGACGGGCTGAACAGATTGCAGTTTCCAGACTCACAGAAGTCTGTACCGAACAGGTGAAGCATGTATTCAACGAGTGGAGGTGGAGAGAGATGTGTGAACACGTGGAATCGGAGTTGTCGCGGACATCGATTGGAGGATCAGGAGATGCTTGTAGTCTGGGAAGAACGTCTTCTGTTGGCACTGGCTCCCCGGCAATGTCATCTCCATTCACACCGAAACGTGCAGGTCATCGACCGAGAAGTATTATTGGCGACTTGACATCATCTACGACGTCTTCTGAAACTATTGGTGGAGGAAGTGAGCAAGGAATCAACTTAGACCTTCCACCAAAACCATCCGGGTTGTCACATATGCAAAAAGCGCGACCCAGAAAACGAGGAGGAGCTTCTTCGCTTCTCAACAATTCAGATGACGTTATGTTGACGAGTAAATCAAGCGGAGGACCTGAAAATGGAGATATGGAGGACCTGATCGAAGAAGTTGAGGAGGTCGAACAGGAGCCAAAAAGGACACCTATCACTCGGATCGCGATGATTCCGGATACTTCTCTTCTTTCTCAAGTTCATCTACGTCCGTCGGCAGATCGAACGATGTCAGCTGCCTCGTCAGAATTCTCTCTATCGCCACGTGAAACCACGTCATCTCCAACTACCGCCCATAAAATTATGACGACGTCAAGTGCTTCGGATTCTCCACCACCTCTTCCGCAAAGAAATCGGTAATTTATTTGTTTAGCTTAATAGTTTAGGCGCGAAATTCAACTTAAATTTTAATTTTAATAATTTCCTGTTTTCAGAATCGGCCCCGGCGGCGCTCCACCACCACTGCTCCCACCGAAGCCGGAACCTCGTACACGTCTTGTCGGAATCGGGTCTCCAACGACTCCTCCAGCTACGACAGCCGAAGATGATGAGAATGCGAATAGTCGGCGATCGGTAGCTGATATGGCGAAAATCTTCCAAAAATAAATTTCTCTGTATTACCTCGCTCTTTGTTTTATCTCTAATCCCTGTGACTATTTTTATTCATGCAAGAAAAACGGATTCCATAAGTATACTTTGAAAGAAAAACGGTCACACACAAAAATTCTAGTTACATTTTTATAGTCTTATCTCATTCTGTGTATTTCTTCCTTTCTGTATTTTTTTGTTCTTAACTCAGTTTTACACCATCTAGACCCCCTTATTTCTCTAGCATATTCTTCTGTATGTATTGTTGCGAGTATCCAGCATTTCCTGCAGGCACAAAAAACGTCTGCGAAATCCCCATGTCTTTTTTATCCGAAGCTGTTCACTTTTCTTTGTTAAATGCACAAAACGCGGTTTTATATCATGTTCATTTTGAATGAATTCGCATGGATTATAGAATTCCACCACAGTGGCGAGATATCA